TGGGGCCCTCAACCGCCGATACCATCCCGTGAGTCATTCATAACCAAGACACATAGTCAAAACCTATTTTCTCAGCGGTTGGCATCCAAATCGCCTAAACCAACAGCTGGGCAAACTATAATATTAGGGGGAGGGGATTATCCCAAGATGAAGCGGCATGTCTGGGGCCACGGCGCCATTGGCCAGCCAATGGAGGATGGAGTCAATCTGCGTGGACAAGTTTGGGGTGTAGTCTAGGGCTGACTTTACGACCACGCTACTGCCTGACTGCCCGACTTGCCACCTGTGTCTCCCAAAAAGGGAGAGGGAAAGGGAGAGGGAAAGGGAGAGAGGGATGAGAGAGGGAAAGGGAGAGAGGGAAAGGGAGAGAGGGATGAGAGAGGGATGAGAGAGGGATGAGAGAGGGATGAGAGAGGGATGAGCGAGGGATGAGCGAGGGATGAGAAAGGGATCAGAGAGGGATCAGAGAGGGATCAGAGAGGGATGAGAGAGAGAGAGAGGGAGAGAGAAAGAGAGAGAAAGAGAGAGAAAGAGAGAGAAAGAGAGAGAAAGAGAGAGAAAGAGAGAGAAAGAGAGAGAAAGAGAGAGAAAGAGAGAGAGAGAGAGAGAAAGAGAGAAAGAGAGAGAAAGAGAGAGAAAGAGAGAGAAAGAGAGAGAAAGAGAGAGAAAGAGAGAGAAAGAGACAGAAAGAGAGAAGGAGAGAAGGAGAGAAGGAGAGAAAGAGAGAAAGAGAGAAAGAGAGAAAGAGAGAAAGAGAGAAAGAGAGAAAGAGAGAAAGAGAGAGAGAGAGAAAGAGAGAGAAAGAGAGAGAAAGAGAAAACGAGCGAGCGAGAGAGAGAGAGAGAGAGAGAGACCCATAGCTGCAATTTCACCCTGCGACGACTCGAACCTCTGAAGGGTCATGAGTTCATGGTTGGATGTACAGTGCAAGGTTCATGGAGCTTGTAGAAGGCTTCGAATCTGCGACTCTTCGCTTGAGCAAGCCCTCGATTCCAAGTGAACTCCCTGCTCCCGAGGCCGGTACGACCGTGAAACCGCCGGGGCAGGTTGTACCTTCATAGGGGCCCACAGCTTTGTTGTGCGGGCTCGGGCACTTTGGGTTTAGGGAACTCTGATATTCTAGAGCCTCATCCCAGGAGTATCCCGGGTGGAGATTGATGTAGGCCTCAAGCGCCACAAGCAGCCGTCAGGGAAAAACACCAGCTGCCTACCCAACTACTTGCAACTACCTTGCAACTACCCGTAAACATTTCAAGCCCCAAGAAGCCTGAAACCGACACCCTTCAAACCCAATTTCCCCATGTCTTGGCTTGGAAGCCCCGAAGGTCACTCGGAGCCAGCACCGGGATGCCGCGAAGCCTCTGTCGTAAGGGTTGCGGTTCAAGGCCTTTGAATGTTGAATCGGTAAGGAGCATGAAATCGTAGACGGTTCTTGTGAGGGGCTTGCTGGGAACTCTCAATAAACGGCCCTGTGCCAGCTTCCCGTGTCCAATTCGAATTAGGTTCGATCTCCGTTATGGTTTACCCTGTAGAAAACTGGGTTCATGGCATGGAGCTTGGGGCATGTTGCAATAGCCGCCGCGAATAAGAAGCGCTCCAAATCTGTAATCCGCCTCTTGCGCACGGTGCCCCACAATGATCTCTCATTGTAAGCCACCACAACCCTCAACCCCATCGATGGCACTCTGACTGCCAGCTGTAACCTTATCCTCCTCGGGCAGCATGACAGTGTTGTATTTCGGACATGTGAGGCATCAATACAGCTCTTTGGGCACCTAAACCATGCTAAGTCCGAGAGACCAGATTCAACCACTGAAGCTGGGGCGTACCCCGATCAGTCACACGAAGAAATAGGCAAGCAAAAGCCGCACAACTCTTACAGCCTCTTGCCCAGTACTCAGAGAGCACCACTGAGCCCTCGACTGCTGCTCCAAATTTTGAGCCAGCAGCGCAGCCATTGTCGCAGCTGCTCATTGGCAAAGGAATCCGAGATTAATCCGAGGTCGGTCTCATGCGGAACCGGAAGCCCCTCTGCAATTGGGGCCGGGCGGGCTGGGCTTTCTGTCTTCTTGAGGGGCCTTACACGCCTGGCGGGGTGAGGGAATGGGTGGGCTGGGTCGAAGTCTTGGGCAGCTGCAGCTCACAAAAGTAAAAGGGCTGCAGAAAGGTCATACTGCTACTTCTGTGCTGCAGCCTCCAAGCCGGTGGCAAACCGGGACCATCTTTTTGAGCGAATCCCAAACACTGCGGATCACCGGGTGACAAACGCCAAGGCAGCTTCCGCAAGCTCTCCAGGAGCTTCCAGTTCAACGAACTTGGAGTCCCCGCCCAAGTTTAAAACCTCAAGGCACGGGAAGGGGCCCGGCAGCGGCGTCACGTAGAGAATCTCGGCTCCCGTCGCTTCTGAAGCACGGGCCATCGCGTCTACGGGATGCCCGAGGCGCAAGACGGAGTCCCGCACAAAGCCGTGGCTTTTTGTAATTTGAAGTTCGTCTGCGACGGCGATGGTTTCGTCCACATGCTTGGCGACTGCAGCGTTCCCTCCCTGCTTCAGGAGCTTGACCATCCCGTCCCTGTAGTCATGCCAGGTAGCTGATGTTGGAATTCTCATGGGATCCGTCATGTGGTCTTTGGCATGGGCCATCCAATCGATGCTGATGAGCTTCTGCACTCCTGCAGCGAGAGGAGCGCGCTGCTGCATCGCGTGGAGCCAGACATATGCGGTAAATGCAGATGGCAGGGGAACAATCCGACGCTCGTCTCCGAGGACCCCTTCCTCTTCAAGTACAGCTGTCCATTGGGAAGACAGGGCCTCCAGTGTCCATGCGCCCACATCCTCGCTGCCATTGTGGTGCGGCAGGGACAGGCTGAGGATCCGGCTGCTGGGCAACCGAGACGCAAGCGCGTGCATCAGGGGATGCATAGACTCCAGGTTTCCGCCCAAACCATGTGAGAGAATGAAGGTCGGCGTGGCTGGCCCCTCTGAGTTACGGGCGGTACGGGGCAGCACCTCATAGAGGGTGCGAGCTGCAGCGCAGCGAAGAGGGCGAAACGTCATGGCATCGTGCTGTAAAGGCGAGTTCACTGAGATCTCACCGAGAATCTGAGAAATCCTGAAAAGCCTGAACCAGCAGAGCCGAAGGCACGGCTTCCTCTTGCCGTATACGTGAGCTCGGAGTCAAAAGGTCAAAAGATGTCAAAACCCTCCAGGAAAAAACCCTTCCACTGACGAGTGAACACAGCTTGCGGAGTCAACCCGACAGTCAACCAACCCGTTGGAAGGACGTGCTTGCGCTCTTGAAAGGGCGGCGTATATTGGCGTTGTGTACTCTAGGCTTTTGCTTGCGCAAGCCTTTTTGTTGCGCACCGCCGGCGCACTGAAGCCGGCTCTGTGACATCCAGTCCTCACATGCAAAGTGTCGCTTCTGCACCCTCCTGCGACATGTCCCTTGCATGCCCCATCATAGAACAGGCTGTTTAAAAGGGTCGTTGATCTCCGGCCAGTCACTCCATTGCGCACTGCATTTCATAAAGAACACAGATTTGCAACAGGCTGGCAGATGCCCTCGATGCTTTCTCCACGGAGCACATGTTGCGCTGAAAATTGGCTGCCCCACTCAGTGGGAGAGGAAGTAAGCTCTTAAGTGAGACTTCTTGCTGGAAGGCCTCTTATGCATTTGGACGTCAAAAGAAACTCTTACGCTTCAATGTTGCAACGTACTGCTGTTGACTTCCCATGGCTTCTGTGAGCCTTGGATTATCACCACTTAAAGAGAGGCCTTCTTGCTTAGCTCTTGGCCCCTACTTGGCCATGGCAAAACCATCCCTCCCCCCTTTTACACACATCAACCTCCTGTGTCTAGGCTGACCGCAACAGCCGAAGTTCACCCGAGACCCTGAACCTGTCCTGGCCAAGAGCAATGGTGGTCAAATGAGAAGGTGGCTGGGTACTGCCTTTTGCGCACGCTTCAGCAGCAGCTCCTCAAGCAAGGAGTGGCCTGATGTCTCTAGGGAGCAGGTGTCAATTTTAGAACACAGAAGACCGTCCTTTCGCGGCACAAGTACTGTTGAGAATGCGTCAATGAATATCACAGACCTAAGCACCGAGCCCGGGCTTTCAAGTTTGAGGGCCGCACGAGCGCGCGTTGCAAAATCATACTCGCTTTTTGGCTACTTCTTGAGGGTCGTAGTTAGCCGTAGTTGTACGAACGAACTGGAGCTTTTCCATATTGAACAATATAGAGGGCGGTGGAGGATCGGCCCGGAGGGCTGCGGGGTGGGGAGGGGGGATTTAGAGGAAGTAGAGGTTTTTCCATAGAAAGCAGACTTCCTATTCCCATATGAAGGAAAAGGGTTTCCTATGAGGAAACTGTAGCCTTTTCATTAAAGTATGGAGGGAATGAACTCGCATCCCTTTGTCTAATGGAAGGAAGTATTGAGGAAGACCACCTCTTTCTGCTGTGGAAAGTCCCCATTTGCGGATACGATGTGCCGAAGAGTCCCCTCTTTTCCTTTCCTTCCTGCGTATGCCTGAACAGTGGGGGGGTGGGCGGCCGCACACCCCATTTTTGAAATAGAGGGAATCGAGGATGAAGCCCCCACCTCTTTTCGGTCGCTGCTATGGAGGCCCTTCCTTCGCTGATACAATAAGCCAATGAGTCTCCATTGCTGCGTATGCCTCGTGGAGGGCAGAGGGGCGTCTGCCCTTCCCACCCGGCACGGGTGGTTGTTTGTTGTTTGTGAAAATCGGTCAAACTGGGCGGGTATGCAACCGGAAACCCGACTCGGGTGTTGGGTTGCGTTTGCAGCCCCGTCCCGTTCGTGCGACTTTAAACACGGAAGCACTACCCCCAGAGCCAGGCCCGAGATGTGAACTGCATCGCAGGGCTTCGGGATCTGGGTTGGAAGCGGAAGTCCATGCACGTTCTACAAATCGCGACCCCAACATCCTCAAGCTGTCTCGAGTCTCGAGCCTGCCAAGACCCCGGTGGTTTCAATCTTCAGGTCCTTTCGCTCGGCAAGAACTCCTGCAAGAGGTGAAGGCAGCTTTGGGGCCAAAAAGGGCTCGGGCAGAAAATTGGGGGCTCTTCAGCTACGGGTACACATGTGACATGCCTGCGGCTGCGGGACTGGCAAACATTGCACCAACCGGCTTCCTCGTGGTCCAAACCAACAGCAATCACGAAGGAAGCTGCAAAATCTAGGCACTGGATGGTCGATGGCTCAGCAAGCCCTCGGCATTGGCATTGGCAAAGAAAGCACTCGCGGCCAATAGCCCCTGACTCGACATGCTCGACATCAAAGCCCGCAGTTCGCATTGGATCAAGGGCCTTCCTTATGATGAGGGCCCTGGTTGCTGAAAACTGAAATAAAAAACCCAAAACCCAAAACCCAAAACCCAAAACCCAAAACCCAAAACCCAAAACCCAAAACCCAAAACCCAAAACCCTAAACCCAACCCCAAACGCACACAGGCGGCTGTCCTTCCACAATCTTCGCGATATCGCCGCCTGGGCCGGCATGACGACCTTCCTGGTACGAGCAATTAGAGCTTGGACTTTGAAGTCCGCTGGCTGCTCATTGGGGATGGGTTTAGGGTTTCGGGTTTAGGGTTTAGGGTTTCGGGTTTAGGGTTTAGGGTTTAGGGTTTAGGGCTTAGGGCTTAGGGCCTAGGGCTTAGGGCTTAGGGCTTAGGGCTTAGGGCTTAGGGGGGTTCACTTGCTTGTGCTTGTACCTCATGAAGTCGCGCATCAAATCGTGCTGCGCCGGGTCTTCAACTCTAGCGCCCACGCGGGGTGGGCAGAACTACGACCGTCATGTTCATGTCACCGATTTACCTACCTGCGTGGCAGGGAACCCTTATGGCTAACAGGGTCCTTGCAAGGTTCTGATGCTCACAACTCGGAGAATCGAAGAAGCCGTGTGTCCAACTTGATTCGCAACTAAGGTCTGCTGTTTCGGCTTGTGGCGTTTTGAGCTCCGGATTCACGGAGCACCCTCGGCTCTGGTACCCTGAATACTTGCAGCATATCTCAGTGGCTTGACAATCACCGAGTCTGGAGTCTGTTTAAAAACTGGATATATGATCGGCGTTGAAACGGGTCAAGAAAGGCCGCTGGACAAACCCTAAACCCTTTTGACCCCGCAAACCCTAAACCCTAAACCCTAAATCCTTTTGAATCCGTTTGAGCCCGGGCTGAGCTGCACGCCGGCACCTTACTGCAACAGCACTCGAAAACCCAAGCTCCAAACTCTTTTTGCAACTGGACTGTGAACGACTGCCCGGAAAAGCAAACCCTAAACTGCCCTAAACCCCAAACCTTAAACCCTAAATCCTAAATCCTAGACCCTGGGCCGGCCTGAAGGAAGAGGAGCGCCACCTTCGCGAACGCCCCGGGGGGCAGGTCCTCAAGGGTTCAGAGTCCTTGTGCCTGGCCTGGGGTTTCGGGTTTAAGGTTTAGGGTCTAGGATCGCTTAGGGTTTAATTAAGGGTTAAGGTTTTTCGGGTGTCTCATTGAGGGGTGCGCTGGTGCTAAAAGCACCCAAAAGCGCGTGCTCCACCCTCGCCTTGACCTTTGCGGGCTTAGGGTGTCCTTGCTTTCTGAGCACGTGCTCATGTATATTCTTGTTGACTGTGGCGCAGGCAGCATATCCGAGGCCCCCTTGCAGGTGCAGGGCTTTCTGGCGCCTGGGATCCTTGCAAAGCCCGTCCTGACATTTTTCTGGAAGCGAATAAATTGGGGGGCCTGGCAGGTGTCTAGGAGCTTGAGGTTTGGTGTTGGGGGCCTGGCTGGTGCCTTCAAGCCCCTGGGCGTCGCCAGGGATGATGTACATAATTACATAATTCTAAGGTGTCTGGGAGGCCTCGGGTCTCTGATAGGAAGTGAAAGCTGGAGGCCCTGGGTTTGCTGTTGGAGGTTGGCTGGCGCCTTCGCACCTTGCTGTCAGCACAAGGGACCACAGCCTCAGAATGCCTCAGGCTGGAGACTCCCCAAGACGGCCTCCTTCGGTCCCCCACCCCGTAGCTGCCCACGATCCGTCGCAGGCCGGGGCGCTTATGGCTCCGGAGCTCCCTCGACGAGTTTAGGGTTTTGTTCCCTCCTGCACGGCTGTTTAGTAGCTTGGGGAGTAGGGTTTAGGGATTCGGGTTTGGGGTTCAGGGCCTAGGGTTTAGGGGTTAGAACTTGAACGTGGCCCCTGCGTTGTTTTCATGGTCTTCTTTCAGGGCTTAACCCTATGCCCTAAACCCTACTGTTCTGAAAGCCTAAACCTCAAACAAATCGTCAACAACTACAACCAGGAAGCATTCGATCATTAATAGAGATTAAGGTACCCCGCTATTATTCAGGACTTAGAATAAAGGGAACATCCCAAGTTTAAACATTAATGACCGGCACGTCTTTTAGCTGCAGGTCTCGGAGGCCATGGCCGACTGGGTGTAATTTATCGAAACCAAACATTAGGGTTTAGGGTTTAGGGGTTAGGGGTTAGGGTTTAGGGTTTAGGCTTTAGGCTTTGGGGTTTAGGGTTTAGGGTTTAGGGTTTAGGGTTCAGGGTTTAGGGTTTAGGGTTTAGGGTTTAGGGTTTAGGGTTTAGGGTTTAGGGTTTAGGGTTTAGGGTTTAGGGTTTAGGGTTTAGGGTTTAGGGTTTAGGAGTAGCATACACACTTTACTAATCACCATAGTGAGTGATGGCAAGAAGAAAAACAATTATAATCAGAAAAATGCGACACAATGCTGCGGGTTGTCTCGAACACTGGTTCTTATGTGCCGTTTCCCCCCCCCCTCCCCCACAAACTCCCAGATTGCAGGTCAAAGGGCACCAAGCCAGAAGTCATTTCCTTGTGATATTGCCCCAACTTCGCAAGAAGAACTCTCTCTCTCTTTCTCTCTCTCTCTCTCTCTTTCTCTCTCTCTCTCTCTCTCTCTCTCTCTCTCTCTCCAACAACAACAAGAGATTAAGCAGCAAAACTGAAAAAGGTGAGGGAGCACGACACAGGCCTTCAGGGCATCTGCCAGCAGTGGCCCATTGAAGTTGTACTCGGCACCTTCCCAGCCCAGAAAGGCAGGTGCTTACATGCCCGATGTTTGCAACCGATACGGATCCTAAATGATTTCCCAGGAGGGGCTTTCTTTTGTTAACACATTGCCTTAAAAACCATTCATGAAAAGCGATGAGCCACCCTCCCTGCGCTCCATGCAGCAGGCGGTAACGCTGCGGCTCAACTTGACCTCCAGAGTCTGGGGCGGCACTACTTGGAGGTTCATGGGCAGCATAAGTTCTCTAAATAGAGTGATAAGCAGAGTTATCATGCTTTATGACCCTGCTACTAACTACCCATGAACCTCCAATTGGGGTACCAAGGTATTCTGGTGCTAGAGATATTCAGACACGAGGGACAAGATGAGAAGGCATGCGAGCTTCAGGCTTACAACCGGCTACACGACATCCTCGTTAAGTCGGCAAATGGACCTTTGTAAACTGATGCCCACCCACCCTTGGTGTATATGCATGTATATGCATATGTATACACGAATAGATATACACGCACACACACACACACACAGTTTAGGGTTTAGGAAACCCTAAACCCTAAACCCTTGTGCAGGCTCGGAAGGTTCCGCTAAACCCTAAAACCAAAACCCTAAATCCTAAACCCTACAACCTAAACCCTAAACCCTAAACCTCTCTCTTTCATATATAATTTAAATGTTAATGAGTTACTGGGCAAGGCCATTTTTTACTGGGCAAGGTCATGTTTTACTGGGCAAGGTCGCTTGGTCCAAAAAAAACGACCTTGCCCAGTAAAAAAATGACCTTGCCCAGAAAAAATGTTACTGGGCAAGGTCATTTTTTTTTACTGGGCAAGGTCATTTTGTTACTGGACAAGGTCATTTTTTATTTGGCAAGGTCGTTCTATAACTGAAATATTTTCTTAATGTTATGGGATTCTTTGGGCGGCTGGGCATTTTTCCGAACAATTTCTTGACTAGTGAATGCTTGGACTTGAGATGCTGAACCCTAAACCCTAAACCCTAAACCCTAAACCCTAAACCCTAAACCCTAAACCCTAAACCCTAAACCCTAAACTCCTCCCAGATCTCCCCCCAAATCTCCCCCCCATTTTGCTCAGATCTGTTCTCAGATCTCTTCGTTCCAGATCTCCAGTGCTCACTTCATGATTGATACATGCTACTACTACTGCTACTGCTACTGCTACTGCTACTGCTACTGCTACTGCTACTGCTACTGCTACTGCTGCTGCTACTGCTACTGCTACTGCTACTCTTACTGCTACTGCTACTACTACTACTACTACTACTACTACTACTACTACTACTACTACTACTACTACTACTACTACTACTACTACTGCTACTACCACCACCACTACTACTACTACTACTACGACTACGACTACTACTACTACTACTACTACTACTACTACTACTACTACTACTACTACTACTACTACTACTACTACTACTACTCTACTACTACTACTACTACTACTACTACTACTACTACTACTACTACTACTACTACTACTACTACTACTACTACTACTACTACTACTACTACTACTACTACTACTACTACTACTACTACTACTACTACTACTACTACTACTACTACTACTACTACTACTACTACTACTACTACTACTACTACTACTACTACTACTACTACTACTACTACTACTACTACTACTACTACTACTACTACTACTACTACTACTACTACTACTACTACTACTACTACTACTACTACTACTACTACTACTACTACTACTACTACTACTACTACTACTACTACTACTACTACTACTACTACTACTACTACTACTACTACTACTACTACTACTACTACTACTACTACTACTACTACTACTACTACTACTACTACTACTACTACTACTACTACTACTACTACTACTACTATTTCTGCTACTACGATTATTGAACGCTGAGCGAGCGGGCTCTGCTCATTTCGGGCGATTTGCACCGTCTGAGCACCGAAAATTGGGTTGGAGCTAATGGTTAGGAGAGGTGAAACTGAATTCAACACTGAAAAGAAAGGTGAGACTTTACAGGATTAAGGATCGGAAAGACAGAGCTAGCTAGCTTGTGTTAGACAAGGTGTAGCTTAGCGCTCAGATGTGAAAAGGTCTTCTCCCCGTCGTCCTAATGTGTTTCACTGCGTCCAGCAAACACGCACCGATCTGCAATTGGGTCGTACCTGTTGGCCGTCGCCCATAGTGTCCATCTAGTGGCGTCCCACGTGGATCACTTTGCAGAAAGGCGGAGGATCGTAGGAGGATCAGCTTCCTCAATGCGCGGCTACTTAGCTTGAACTGCTCCTCTTCTCAAGATGGAGAAAGTTGACATGTAGGCGAGTCCCAATCAGGGAGTAGAGCGCTGATTGTGTAGACGCTATCGGCTATGACGGCGGTTATTCCCCTATGGCTGCTTGGAAAGGATGTGCTGCTCAGAGTCTCGTGGACCCCCGGTCCACCAGGGTAAACCACTCAAGGTGGCAATTCTGGTATCTGCACCTGTGTGGATTACGGACGTAAGAACGTTTCAGGCCAGCCACATCCCTTGATTGAACCACTACTGGGATTCGGGCGCTCTAACCGAATAGTGTCTGTGTGCGGCTGCTGCATTGCTCGGAGCGACTCCTCCTCACAAGGAAGGTCCTGGCACCAATGGTAGCTGTTCATGGAGATAGTTAACATAAAGACAGGTCCCGGCCAGGGAGCATGTAGACTCTATCGGCTATGACTGTGGTGTTTCGACTATGGCTGCATGGAAGGGTGTGCTGCTCAGAGTCTCGTGGACCCCGCTGGCGGTCCACCAGGGCAAACCGCTCGAAGCGGCAATTCTGGCATCCGCACCTATGTGGATTACTGACATTGGAACATTTTAGGCCAGCCACAGTCCCCTGATTGAACCAGAGCTTGTTGTCGGACGCTTTAGCCTTTGAGAGTTATTGTACGGCTACAACTACCACTACTACTACCACTACTACTACCACTACTTCTACCACTACTACTCTACTACTATTCTACTACTACTACTACTACTACTACTACTACTACTACTACTACTACTACTACTACTACTACTACTACTACTACTACTACTACTACTACTCCTACTACTACTAATAATAATAATACTACTATTACTACTCACCAGTGCGTAGAGCGGTTTTCACTACTGGGTAATGGGGTTTTCACGGGCTACTGCGTCTTCTACTACCGACCACGACTACAACGAGAAGCTTCATATTGGAATACCTTAGTTCAGAACGAATCCCAATAAAATAACATTCTTAAGTTGAGCTCGCCCACGTCACTTTTTTTGGGCTGCTGCGCTTGCCAACGCACGTGCCCTGGATCCTGTATACGACCGCCCGTGCGGCGGGTCCCAGCTTCATACGTGAACCGTGAGTGTTCTAAATTCTACATGCCCGGCTACAATAGCGGCTATAATCTTAGCGACTTACGAGTAAGTCTTAGTACTTGAATGGGACGGAAAAGACTGGGACCTACCTAAGGAAGACCTCCCACAGGAACATCTTCCGCCATGAGGGCTAAACGTGCTCAGATCCAGTGCACCAAGCGTCCTGTCAAGTCAGCGTTGTCAAACAATACACTGTTATCAATCGACTTAATTTTGATTCTACACCGGCCTTAGCAGCGGGCATAGGACGGGATCCACCACCCACGGCTCGCCCTGCCTTCTGGAGCCCACCTCCTCACGCAGATCCGCGCGTGGCAAGCCTTCCACACCGACTTGCCAACTGCCTTGAGGCTCCGGCCCAGTATTGGCCGATGTAGCCCCCTCCTCCGGCGTCTCGTACCAAGATGAACTGACTTGTGCGTTCTATTCTCATGCCAAAAAGCGTGCAAGTACTTGCTGTCAATGCCGCCGAGTAACCTCGCGGTTTGCCGGGCATGAGCAAGGGCCTTGCTCTCTTGTGGGCGATGTTGATGGAGTCCCTCGGAAGCAGTCCGCATCAAGCACGAGGCTGGCCTTGCATACGTCTACTTGACATCTCTGAGCTCACTGCACGCTGCCAGCGTTGAGGCCCCGCAAACGTACCAGCACCTGTAGAGGTGTCGGAGCGAAGCCACTACATGACGTTAGATCCTAAATCTCGGGGGCAGGCGTTTTCGGGCAAGCTGGCGGCCCTCCGTCCGGCAAACAGAGACTTTGACAATGCAGCAGTGCAATGCAGGGTGGGGTGGCCGCTGTAACGGAAACTAAAAAAGGTTGTAACGGAAACAAACGGCAAAATGTAGCGGAAAGCAAAAAAAATGTAACGGAAACAACGGCCCGGCGAGTCGAAACAATGCGCGGCTGTAACGGAAACCAAGCAAAACTGCAACGGAAACCAAAAAGAGATGTAACCGAAATCACGGAAAACTTAAACCGAAACCTACAAAAACCGGCTACGGAAAGGCGCACCAGAAGGGCACGGCTCTTTTTCTTCCTGGCATGCAAAGGCCGTTCTGCAGGTACTTTTGGTCAGCGTCGCCTTGCGGGACACAAGAGGGCTTAGTGCTTCCAGGGCCTGTAGGGCGAGGGTTGAGGGTTCAGGGCAAGCCGCAAAACCCACAACCCCTGCAGCCGGTCGCCCGGATCTCCGCAGAGCAGGCAGACTGGAACTTCTTCAAGTTGTCCCCTAAAACCCTAAACACTAGACCCTAAACCCTGAACTCTAAACCCTTTTTCCCCCGAACCTATAAAACCCCTAAACCCTACAGCCCCGAACCCTAAACCCGTAAACCCAAGCTTGTCGCCCGGATCTCCGCAGAAGTCCGTGGCACCCTAATCCTTCCCGTGGCTGTAGTTTCTCGCTTAGGAAGGTAGTTTCTGTTACGCCCGACGCCGTTTCTGTAACGCCCCGAAGCCAGTTTCCGTTACGCCCTTTCGTAGTTTCTGTGTCGTTTTCAGGGGGGCAGTTTCCGTTACAACCCGCCAATTTCCGTAACACACTTTACTCATGCAGGGTGGGTGGGCGGGAAATTTTTTCTTTCTCTCGTCTAACTCGCAAAGCTTGGTCCTCAGACACGCAGCACTCAAGAATTCTCAAGGCACCGGATCGCTGTTGCAAGCAAAATTTTCAAGACAACTCGGATTCAGAAAAACTCAGCCAGATTTTAGTTCAAGCCACTTCAGCTTTAAAGCGCAATCAACACGTTGACCGCTGGCGGAGTTTCCAGTGCTGGGCACTCACCCCCCTCACCCCCCCAAAAAAACATGAAACATAGTTTCAAAAATCCAAACGTTTCGTATTGGGACCCAAACCCTATACAATTTCTCTAAACCCTAAACCCTAAACCCTTTTTGAGCAACGGACTTTGGGGGGCTGCCGGCAAACATGCAACTTCTCAGAAGCCCGAAACCCTAAACCCTACACCCTAAACCCTTAACCCTAAACCCTAAAGCCTAAACCCTAAGGTCCCCTTGGGCACCTCCAGCTCCGAACGCACAGCCTCCCGCGCCGCGGCCACGCGCGGCGCTGGGGAGCCGTGGTCGCAAAGGAGGACGTGGGTCACGCCCGAGGTGGGACTCGGAGCTAGGGTTTAGGGTTTAGGGTTCAGGGTTCAGGGTTCAGGGTTTAGGGTTTAGGGTTTTTCGGGTTTAGGTTTAGGGTTTAGGGTTTAGGGTTTAGGGTTTAGGGTTTAGGGTTTAGGGTTTAGGGTTTAGGGTTTAGGGTTTAGGGTTTAGGGTTTAGGGTTTAGGGCTTAGGGCTTAGGGTTTAGGGTTTAGGGTTAGGGTGTAGGGTTTAGGGTTTCGGCAAGCACTCTCTGCAGCAGACGGCTTCACGCTAGTGCAACAGGGCTCAGGAGCTGGCGTAAGGTCCCCCAACTTCTCGTGGAGCATCATTGCTATATCAGAGGCTCCCGATTCCTCCGCCTTGGGATCTGAAACTTGGCCATGCTCAGGACGCAGAGTTCACGACGGCACGCTTCTGCTCCCCTGAACAACTGCCTGAGGTAAATCTTCAGCGAAGTTCTTCTGACCTGCCTCTATTAGTCTATCTACCTCTATTTTTCTACCTACCTCTATTGGTCTATCTACCTCTGCCCAAAACGGGCTCCCCACCTTGTAGATGGCCGGGCACAAGCAGACCAGGCTGGGTGCGATGCACACCTCAGCCACGACTTGCGAGGCTTCCAGCATCGTCAGGTGTTCGTACTTGGGTTTTGCAGATGTTTAGGAGCTTGAGTGGCTAAAGCTGAACTTCTTACTGTCCGTTGGTCCCGCCCTCTAGCCGTAGCATTCTGAAATCCCGGATCCGAACTCCCAACAATCAACAACACACCAGCACAACAACAACAACAACAACAACAACAACAACAACAACAACAACAACAACAACAACAACAACAACAACAACAACAACAACAACAACAACAACAACAACAACAACAACAAACAACAACAACAACAACAACAACAACAACAACAACAACAGCAACAACAACAACAACAACAACAACAACAACAACAACAACAACAACAACAACAACAACAACAACAACAACAACAACAACAACAACAACAACAACAACAACAACAACAACAACAACAACAACAACAACAACAACAACAACAACAACAACAACAACAACAACAACAACAACAACAACAACAACAACAACAACAACAACAACAACAACAACAACAACAACAACAACAACAACAACAACAACAACAACAACAACAACAACAACAACAACAACAACAACAACAACAACAACAACAACAACAACAACAACAACAACAACAACAACAACAACAACAACAACAACAACAACAACAACAACAACAACAACAACAACAACAACAACAACAACAACAACAACAACAACAACAACAACAACAACAACAACAACAACAACAACAACAACAACAACAACAACAACAACAACAACAACAACAACAACAACAACAACAACAACAACAACAACAACAACAACAACAACAACAACAACCACAACCACAACCGCAGCATGTGCAACCCTGGCAGCCCCGAAGCGCAGCGACAAGTCTACAGACTGATTCCGAGTTCGAAAAAAATGAGAAGCAACCCTTCCTTGTGGTACCGAGGCATGTACGTAAAAGGTCTAACGCCTCCCCTAAACTTCCAAACTAACCCCTACAAGCCTTTTCTGCCCAAACCCTGAACGCTGAACCCTTTTTGAATCAGAACCCAGACTCAGAGCATCAGCTGGGATCAGCAAGCCGCCCTAAACCCTAAACCCTAAACCCGAAACCCTAAACCCGAAACCCGAAACCCTAAACCCCAAACCCTAAACCCTAAACCTCTGTTACGCACCTCGAGGTCGGAGGCCGCCGCCGCCTCGGGCATGGCTTTGGTGAGGGTGTCACTGGGCCCGATGAGCAGCGGTAACAAGAGAACCTGCGCGACTTGGCACGTTTTGTCCTGGGAAGTTGAGGGATTTTTTTGCCACCCGTCTAGCCATGCTCCACGGGGCAACTGAAGAGGGAAAGCTGTGTTGGGAAGTTGAGGGTTTAGGGTTGAGGGTTGAGGGTTCAGATGCCTCCCGGGCGAAACCTTACACTGAATGTTGCAACCTCATTCGCTCCCCAAAAGGCAGGGTCAACCAACCCGCGGACACGCACGCGCACGCCTCGACCGCCCCGCGGTCAGTGTAATCCATGTAGTCTTGTGTACATCTGATACGTGGCAGCAAGACACACGCGCGCACACACACACACACACAAAACACTTTGGGGCAATGAAAGCAAGTAAAGACAGCAGGAAGTAAAGAGAGGAGGGGACCTTCTAGGGCGAAATGACATTTGTGGTTGCCGGTGCACCGGTCAAAGTAGCAAGCACGATGACAGGCATGTGCCTTCGCTTGGTTGCCCTCCTCGTCCACCACACGCTTCAACCAGGGAGCTAGGACCTGATGTTTCGCGCAGCTTCTCGACTCTACTTGGAATGTTGATGGGTAGTGAACTGGGAGACCCGTTATTCCTGCAGCTGCACTACCAGCACTCATAATAAGGCTACCGTTTCACCACCCATGAACATTCCAGCAGGCCCACGTTGGGCGAATCCTAGACTTAACCCTGCCCACAAGCAGAGCTTGCTCCAAAGCAAAGAGCCGGTTCAGCCTATCGATCTGACGTCTTGCCTCGCCAGGCTTGCCGTCCAACTTGTCCTTTGAGATTTTGTCCTCGCTGTGCGCATCGTCATACAGGGAGTTCCGGTGTTCCAGTGCTCCGTCGCCACTTAATCTGTGGCACTATCCGAGACAGAACTCTTGCGGTCATACGTTCCGAAACCTCAACCCTAAAAGCCCTAATACTATACTCCCCTTAGAACCTGAATAAAAATGAGAATTCCCAAGAGGGCTATATATATATATGTATATATTATGGACTCTCGTGACGCCAAACCCTTTTGATCGGACGCGAGCGAAGAGTTGGCGGGGAGGTGCGCATTGCCGCCCAGGAGCAGCAAAACGCGCCGAGACGGCCTGGCAGTCAAGCTTCCCAATTGGTCAAGAACCCTAACACTAAACCCTAAGCCCTAAGCCTTAAGCCCTAAACCCTAAACCCTAAGCCCTAAGCCCTAAACACTAAACCCTAAACCTCAAGAATTGTAAACCGCCCCAGTCTGTTAGAGATACTGATGCTAACCCCATTCTGGGCTTCGCAGCTTCGCGAATTCTGCGACGTGCATGGGAATGAGCAAAGCCCTGCGGGAAGTAATGGAAACAAAACAAGTTTGAAATCAGGAATCGGGCCTCCACGGTCCAATTCCCACGGCGCTGCAGCGACGCTGCAAGGCGTCGAAGGGATTTGGTAGCCTGTGGCAGAGAGCTGTACAAAGTTTAGGGCTTAATCAAGTACTGTAGTGATCCATTAGATTGCTCGCAGTTCGGATAAGCCACACAAGGAACCTGTGTCTGCTCTCAACTTGAAAGCAGCATTCTCTCAGTTCGCCGTCCACAAAGTGTTGCCCTGATGCACAACACCATAGCAACTCAGAAACGCTCCCCTTGGCTGGGCGCAGCAACGCCATCGACCAACGCTTACAGCCGACCTCGGCCTCCCACATCCCAAAGATCTCTGTCCGAGGGAAACAAAAAAATCGATCTCTCCGGTAGGCTTGCAAGCAATAAGTGGGGGTTCCCGAAATTAGGGGTACCTTACTGTGGTCCTTTCCTTATTCCAAGGGAATCCTACTATTTGGGGGACTATATTGGGGGGCCCCTTCTTTTTGTGAACCCCCACGTAGGGTACCCTAAACCCTAAAGGCCTAAAAACCCTAAACTCGAAACCCCCGAAGCGCGTGCCTCTGGCTTCAAGGAGCCGTTGTCCACCAATGCGACCCGCGTCTTCCTCTGCCGTCCTCTTCGGCCCTGCAGGCATAGTGGCATAGCATCTTTACTCGGATATGTATATATATATATATATACATATATATATACATATATATATACATATATATATATATATATTTTTTACCATTTATGATGCATGCTACTTGTTGATATTGATACTTTCCGACTTTTTATACAACATTCCTAGCTGGTTTCAGCTTCCGCCCTATCTGGGACTCGAGAGCAGCAGTGAGTGCGAGTTTAGGCTTATGGCCCCTCGTAAAGAACGCAGACCAACAAAAGGAGTAGCACTCAAGGCAACAGAAAAACAAAGGAACATAAACGCCCAAATATCACTCAGCTCTCGGAACCAAAGCTGGCCTGCCCCACGCGACGTGCCAGCGCCGTGGCTGCGGCAACAAGCAGTGCAGCGGCGGCAAGGCGGCTCCGATCCATGGCTTCGGCAAGCCTAATGGAGTCCTACAAAGCTTGGCAGGTTGGGGTTAAGATTGGTGGAAACGGTGCGCCGTGCATGCTGCCAGTTGCTCTACGTACCTTGCAGATGTTATGGTTCTGGGATGTCATGGGCTACTGGCTACCCGGTAGCGAAGAACAAGTGGCCTGTAAGGCACTTGCAGAATGAAGGTGGGCCGAAGAGCAATCACAACGAATCCATGGCAAATGGTTTTAACCCAGATGCCAAATGGTGGTTCCGAAATTGGGGGTACCTTCGTGGGGTCCCTAGTATTGGCAATCCTTCTGTTTTGGGTCTGTTTTCGGGGTCCCCTATTTTCGTCAACCCCCAAATTCCAGTACAAGCCGTTTTCCAAGCAAACCCGGTTCAGCTGAAGAGCAGATGCAATTCACCAGCCCGTGTCTCCAGGACCCAAGTCTTGGCCATCTTCGTCTCTTTCAAGTCGAACGCAACTGGCCACTGGCACACCGTTGCGCAGATTGTGTGGCTCAACCTTCGCCGAGACGTGGGCTTTGTTTTGGTGTTTCTGAGCGCATGGACCATGGACGCGAAGAAGAACACGGAGGGTCTGGTACCACATGGACGTGGGTGATGTCGGCGTGGCAGCGATGCTTACAGGATCAACGACAAGCTCAGCGGCAAACTTACACACATTGAAACGAGTGCCTCAGGAACGTCTGAGTCGTGCTCGCCACAGACGGCACATTGCTGCTGACGCTCTGTGAACAGGACAGCGGTAGCACCAAATTGATCAATTCCAAGCCTGGCAGCTCTGATGGCGATAAATCATCCGTCAAGGCCGTCAGTGCCCCTTTCAAAGCTCGAAGAGAATTCTCCGCTCGTCGCTGAGCCACTGCATAGGGCAAAGAGGTCTCAAAAGTGCCAATGTCAATGAGCAGCAGTGGAATCGTCAGTTCTGCAACACGACAGCGGTGGCAGTCCCAGAGCATGCGCTTCAGAGCCCGGTGGATGGGTGCGGGGACCTCATCTGCGGGTGCCGAGGCCTCTGCCACAGGAGCCGACACGAGGAGGTGAAAGGCAGCCTGCACCTGTCCTCCGAGATTCGAATGCCGCGTGCAGAAGTAGTCGCCGGCCCTCAAGGGAGTCGATTCCTTCTCCTGTTCCTTGACAGCCCGGAGCTGCTCGTTTAGGGGGCTGAAGTGAAAATCGCTCACCCGAGAACAGCGCATGGCAAACTCTCGCAGCATCGATGCCTGGGACGTTTCGAACTTCAAGTGTTCCAAGGTCGGGATCACAATGCCGCGCAGCTTGTCAGAGTAAGCATTTGGGGACAACGTGACGGGAGGTGGTAGTCTTGGTGCCTCCCAGAAGCGCAGGGAAGCAGAGCGAAAGAAAGGAATGCCTCCAAACTGTCCGCGAACGACGTGGTTGGGAAGAGCACGCGTTTTCGTCCATGCAGCCTGAATCCGCGGCAAGCCGCCACCCTGACGGCTCGCGTACGCACTGCCAGCCACAAAGGAATCTTGACGCCCATAGCTGTCGATGCCAAGGAAAGTCTTTGGCAGCTGCGGGCCTGCACCATCTCCATCGTCTGTGACCTCCGATTCCGTGGCTCCTCCGGCGAAGTCCATAACATCACCGATCCAGAGGCGCAGCACGAAGAAGGACTGGCGACCGAACACTGTCCGCACCTCGCAGATCTGCGTGAGGCGGCTTCCAGCTGGGAGGGCCAAGGGGGCTTCCTCTGCACTTGTAGAAGTCTCTTCAAGCGGTGGCAGTTCGGGCCGCAAAGGGCGTGCAAGCTGTGAGAGCAGGCTGGGCTGTGCTGGTTGCTGTACCTCATTCTGAGCCGTCCCAGTCTCTTTGGTCTCTTGAAGGTTGGCCATCTCCATCTCCCGGTGGAAGAAGTCGACGACCAATTCCCTGTAGGAGGCTTTCTGCTTGGCCTTGAGCTGCTCGATCTCACTTTGCCAGTGCAACTCCAAGGCATCAATCTCACTCACATGCTGGCCAACCAAGACGTGAATGTCTCTGGGGGTACTGCCGTCCTCCTCCTTGTCCTCTTTCTCCTGGCGAACCTTCTCCATCTCCATGCTTTGGCAGCCTTAGTCTCTTCACTCAGCAGTAGCAGCCTAGCGGGCCTAGCAGCAGCATTCTTGGAGCTAATTTTGCACTAAGCTCCGCACGCTGGAGCTCAGAGATTGCAACGGCGCGGCCTGCTCCCAACTCCCGGATACCTTTCAAGTACGACTCTTCCAGAGTCCCAATCGTGCGGAAGAAAGCCGGACGATGCCGCAAGAGAAAGTCGTATGCGCACCAGAAGGTCATGTCCCAGCTCACATGCAACCCATCACACGTCCGCAGCTGAGGGCCCCATGCACAGCTGTCGGGCGGAACCAGCCCCCGCAGCTGCAACGCTCTCAGTCGGGCATTGATGCCCACCGGCTGACTGCAAGCGCGGGCAAAGGGTGGATCTGAGGATGGCATCTGTATGGAAGATGGGAGGTCCACGTTTGCCAAAGCTCCATCTTCCTCACCATCTGCCAAAGCTTCCCGAACTGCCAGGATGGCGTACTCGAGCGTCGGTTGGAAGAAGCAGCTGGGAAGCCTGGGCCAGGAATTAGAGAAGCAAGGGGACCTTCCTGCAACCTCCAAACCCGACCCCTCCCGATGCTGCGTCCAGGCGGCTGCCCTTGCTGGAACACTTCCAGCACACGCGTGAGCACATCGTCGCCTCTTCGGATTTAACTCGGTTGTTGAAGATGCCCGCAGTTTGCTTCAAAGTTTATGGGCAGTTCTAGGTAACAAGCAAGGAAACATAGGGAATAAGCACAAAGACTTTTGCGAACTTGATTCGCTTCAACTCCCTCTCTTGTGCCTCTCTAAGGAAACAGACAGCATACCTTAAACACCCAATCGATTTCAAGGGGGCCTTAGAACGGGGAGGGGCGGGGGAGAAGGGGGAGAGTCCCGAAGCCGTGCGTAAACTCAGCAGGTGCTCGGGACTTCGAGTTTAGGGCTTTCTGGGTTCTAAGGGTTTTCTTCAGGTTTTTTGTAAGAAGTTTATTTAAACTTTGTTTTGAGTTTGTTTAGGGGCGGGGGTTAGGGTTTTTCAGGGTTTGTGTTCGGGTTGTTTGGAGCCGTTTAGGTTTCTAGGAGAATCCCAGGCCTGCCCAAAGCTGCAAGCTTAGCACGAACTGGTTCGAGCCCAGGCGGTTGAAGACGCGCAGTGGGATGTCGCGCGGGGCCTGCGGGAGTTGCAAGCGCAGTTCGAGGGCTCCTTGAAGGTCGGGTTTAGGGTTTAGGGTGTTTTTGCCACCTGCCAGGGTTCAGGGTTCAGGGTTCATCGGCCGGGCCTCCACGGGCTGCATCTTCACAGGCGGAGGAAAGAGAGAATGCACACGTGCAGAGGCCAATATGGGGGGGTTTCCGAAAAGAGGGGTACCCTGTCTGGGGGGTCCCCTTTAGGGGCTTCTATTCTATTCAGGCTTATAAAAGGGGTTCCCTGGGAAATACCGATACCCATATACTCTTGACTTCGCTTGCCACCCTCCTGGAGCTGACTAGGGCTTAGGGCGGTTTCGTTTCGATTGTCAGAACTCAGTGTTCAGGCTCAGATTCGGTTTGAGTTGCCTTCGCTTCTTGAGCCGCTTCTCAACATTCTGGGCGAGATGCCCCTGGTTCCATCTTGAGTGAACCCAAGGTACCGAAAGACCTCCATTACAAATCCTATGAGCAGCACATAAAAAGATTGCTGGGTGAAGCTGATCGAGAGAACGTGCGATCGATACGGCATGTTCTTCAGGCACACATCTTCAAACTGACTTCTCCATCCACCGCCTGCATTCTAGCGGGTCGGTGCTCTGTACGTTGTACGAAAAAGTTCCCTGTACCCGCCGCTAGGTTCAAAAGCGCGGCGACTCGCCGTCGTCTGCTGCAGTGACCACAAAAGCAGGCCCGGTAGGAGTCAACCGAAGGCTTCGAGATAGTTCTAGGACGGAGGATTTGTGCAAGTCAGCCATGTACAGCACGATCCATGTGCCCATTGAAGTCAGTATGAACCAGTCAGGGCGCCTTCTTACTCAATCCAAACCCTAAACGACCGTCCCAGGTATCTCTAAACTCTAAACGCTGACCCCGCCAACAGACACACAGAACCCTAAACCCTAAACCCTAAACCCTAATCTCGACCTTGAGCTCCTTCTCTCCTACTGAATTTTCCCTACACGGCAGCAGACGCCGAGGCGCAGGGCAGGTTCTGTACAGCATTGGATCTCTCACAGACAGAAGGCTTAGGAGCTTAGAGCTGGAGGCCTTAAAGGCGTTTTGGCAGGACGACATCCTTCCCAAACACTATTTATCCTAAAGGGCTGGGAGGGCACACGATGCCTCAGGCTCCGACATTGCCTCTCCGGCTACGTCTGTGCGCAAAATGAATTAGTGAAACAGCTTTTTGAGCTGTTGCTCAAGGTAGGGCCGGTTCAACAATGAAGCACCGGAGCATCGGTTCCACAGAAGTGTCGTGGCTCCATTGTGCCCGTTGAAGCAATGGGGAATAAGCCCCACGTTGCAGGATACTGGAAAGTCTCGGAAAGCACGACTCTGATTCACACTACTATAAGGCTCTATGGACTAGCCTTTTTCTTTGCCACAACCGCCTAAGTCCTTTGGTTCCTGCTCGAGCTCAGCTACTGCTGGCTCAGGAAGTGGGTGACAAGTCCCACACGCACCAAGGAGTTCATGCCCACCGCTGGGGCGTGCTTCAGAAATTGAGGGCCCAAGCTCCTCAGGATGCACAGGATGCTATACTACTCCCCTCAGAACCTTAATAACAACAATATGTTCAATATCCTCTTGGGTTTTATATAAAGAAAAAACAAAAAATAATAATTCCCAAGGGGGATATGGATGCTGGTGATTTGACCCATTGCGTTGGGCTGCATCATCTAGTCATTTGCAGGAAAAAACTCAAACTTCACCCCCCCTCCTATCCCCCCCGTTGAGGCATCTGGGTCGGAGAATGCCTACATTGACATGGGAACTTTCTGAAACCCACGCTGGCAGCCTACACCTCCTAAACCGCAAGACGTCACAAACCCTCTCAAACATCACAGCCCTATGAAGCCGCTAAACCCTACACAGCCCATAAGAAGCCGAGTTCTTGGGCATGTGCGTGCCTGCAAAATCCCTGAAGGCGCTCGCGGCGGCTCTTGGGAGGCGAGGTCGCAGCGGGTTGCCTGAGCTTGGGACGTTTAGGGTTTAGGGTATATAGGGTTAGGGTCTAGGGTTTAAGCTTTAGAGATGGGTAATTCTCTAAATTGGGGTCCCCTTTTGGGGGTCCTCATTTTTTGGGGTGCCGCACTATATGGGGACCAAAGCAAGGGACCCTAATTTAGAGAACTAAACATACGATGATGTTTGTTGTTGCCTTGCTCACGTGGGGTTTCAGGCAGGTTTGAGGCATAGAGGCTTCGTGGCTTGGGAGGGGCAGTATTCAAGTTGATGGCCCTTTTTGGGCTATTACCCGAAAAGCCTTTGATATTGTGACAGGATCCCGAGACGGACCACAACTTGGACCCGACTAGCTCATTTGCCCCATGTAGGTTCGGGTTGGGGGCTTAGGGATGTTGAGGGTTTCGGGCCACAGCAATGGCCCCCCTTCCATTCTCAACCCGGCAAAGGAGGATGACGAAGGCATTCACTAAACGAGGCCTCAACTCCCGAGGCCCTCAACAAAAAAACCCTAAACCCTGAACCCTAAATCCTAAGCCCTAAACCCTAAACCCTAAGCCCTAAGCCCTAAACCCCAAACCCTAAACCTTCAAACCCTAAACCCTAAACCCTAAACCCTAAACCCTAAACCCTAAACCCTAAACCCTAGACCCTAGACCCTAAACCCTAAACCCTAAACCCAACCCCACAAAGATGCGGAGTTAGGGCCCCAAAATCCCACAACGGAAAGCGCGCCTGGCCGTCTCGTGGATGTGGACCAAAGATTGTGCGAAGCATCCTCTACCGCTTTTCAGGGGAAAGAAAAAAAAACGCCTACCATCTACATAGAACAAGGCAAAAACAAAAACGAACCCTACACCCTTCTTTGAACCCAGGCTCCGTACGTCAGCTGGCACAATGACAATTGCATCGACTGACTTCCCAGAAACTACACCCTAGACCCTAAACCCAACTGGATATCAGGCCTAATTCCCTCCTTCCCTGCGAACAACGAAAAGGCATAAACCCTTTTATGAATCGCTGCTGCCCTTTATAGAACCCTACACCGTGGGATGTCCCCCTTTTACTAACAATCCTTCATAGAGAATATCATTGGGGCTACCCTCTTAAGAACTGATAGTATGAGGGGGAACATCCCAACCTGCACCCCCAAAACCCTAAACCCTAAACCCTAAACCCTAAACCCTGAACCCCAAACCCCAAACCCCAAACCCCAAACCCCAAACCCCAAACCCCAAACCCCAAACCCTAAACCCTAAACCCTAAACCCTAAACCCTAAACCCTGCCGGAATGGAGCTGCTTCCTTGCGCTTCCGGCCTGCCGCACATCCGGAGGCGAAGAGCAGGCTCGGGCTCGTCTGCCAACCTCATCAGGCCAAAGTGTCCCCCAAGTTTAGGGTTTAGGGTTTAGGGTTTGGGGTTTAGGGTCTAAGCAAAAAGAAAGGGCAACCCTAAAATTCGGGGAGTCCCCCCGGGCCGGCGCCCACACCAAAACAGACACACAGAGTCATAGTCCACTTGATCCCATCATCTCATGGGTTCAGGGTCTGCGGGGCCAGCAAGGATTTTTAGGATTAGGGTCTCGGGTTCTTCGGCTTCCGGCTTAAACAACCGCCTTCTGCGACTTCTTCCTTAAACCACCCGCCTGCACTGGTCCCCATGTTCCGGACAACGTCGATTGCGCACCTGCCATGCTGTCCAACCCCCTCCCATCTTCCATGTACAGTCTGCACTCTGCACGGGTGGGCAGCCTGTTCAGACCCATGTCAGTCTGGCGCTACTCAGCGTTACAAGGCAGCATATGCTCAGGGCTCCAGGAACAAGAACTCTGTTACTTTTTACTCGCACACATTTGGCGAGACAGGCCAGGGTTATGTGCAGAAAGCGGCAAAACGGAGGGGTCCAAGTTTCTGGATCCAGCGACATGGCGTGGATCATCCCCGAAACCCATTTTCCTGAAGCCAAAGTGGTTTTTCTTCAGAAATCCTGCATTTTACCAGGTAAGGCCCAGCCCTCAACCCTCATAAACCCCAAACCCTATAAACCCCCAATAAGCCCTAAACCTTACTGTATAATCCCTAAACCCTAAGCACTACACCCTAAACCCTCTGCCGAAGCCACATTTCGACAGCGGCCACCGGGTTGGCGGATGCCACGGCGCGGCGGCCATGGGACCGCAATGCCTGCGCCGCCGAGCCTCAGTTGCTTCAGGGTTTAGGGTTTAGGGTTCAGGGCTTAGGGTTCGTTCAAGAGCTCCTGGTCGAGCAGTTTCTCGTTTATCGTTGCTTGGAACATCGAAAAATACCCACCCACCCGGAGTTCCCACAACATTACGAAATACAGAGTTTCTTCTTATCATTCGGATGGCTCAACAACAAAACTCATAGGTTTCGCAAGGGTTTAGGGTCTCAAGGGTTTAGGTCTCAAGGGTTTAGGGACTCAAGGGTTTAGGGTCTCAAGGGTCTAGGCTCTCAAGGGTTTAGGATCTCAAAGGGTCGCAAGGGGGTTTGGGGTCTCAAGATGGCTCAGCAGCGTAATGAACGGTTTAGGGTTTAGGGTTTAGGGTTTAGGGTTTAGGGTTTAGGGTTTTTTTTTTGCCACCCGCCTAGCTGACACTCCGGCAGGGACTAGTTCCGGAAATGTTGTATGTTCGGAGAAGGAATGCCTTTAAAGCCGGCATACATCGGGGGAAGTACGACAGGGATCATATACGGGAAAACAACAAAACAACTCGTGCTGTCAGGCGACTAGAACAAGGGATGCAGCTCAAAACAAAAAACCCCGGCCCTGTAGATCCCCATCTCCTCCCAGGAGAAAAATCCAGAAGGGCCCTAGGGTCCCCATCACTTTGCACATCTGGCACCACAGAGAAACACCCGGACACCTCAACTCGACCACAACCAAAAGTACAGTGCGATATAGTTCTCACCCGAGGTGTTTCGCCACTCCATAAAAGACAGCTCAGAGGTTTTGTTGCCTCAGCTTCCTCTGCCTGGCCACATCGGCTCTTGTACAGTGGCAGTTCCATGAAGCCCATCAGCAACCAGAAAAACTTGCAGGCCTATGCCAAAGGCCCGTAGAATGGCTAGGTCCAGTGTATCACGGGACAAACGGGGCCTCGAAGAGACACCGTTCCAGCAGAAACCGCACCAACCCCTTAACACCACACAGATCCAAACGATACTAAACACCACCACCGAATTAGGGTTTAGGGTTTAGGGTTTAGGGTTTAGGGTTTAGGGTTTAGGGTTTAGGGTTTAGGGTTGAAGGCTCATGGGCGTCGGCTCTCGGAATTCTGCTATGTGGAACCGCCTAAAGCACACGCGGGAAAAGATTTTTCAAGACAAAACTAATTCCGAGGCATGATGGTGGTGGATTCCAAGATGTCTCGGTGGCTTGACAACCGTTCGATGCTGCTGGTGCTTGTAAGGCTGGCTATAATGTGAACCCTAAAAAGAACCCCAAACCCAAACCCTAAACCCTCAACCCCCATGGGGAGGACAGTCGAGGAGCGGATGGTGAGGGTCTTCTTGTCCAAGACGGCGGGTGACGGTGCAAGGGGGTACGTGGCGACGGTGGCCATGGTCACCTGTCTTCACTCACCAGAAGAGTCATGCGAAAGGCAGAGACTGTCGACGTGCTTGAAGGTTCTTCTGTTGCCCTCATAAGGGCCCTTAGGGGTTATTTGGGACTATTTTCGGTAGATATAGGGGGTTATATGAGATTTATATAGGGGAATATGATTAAGGGTGCCTACCACAGCTACCCATTGCAAATGAGGCGTAGCTTGATTTGTTCAAGATGTCTGGCGGTTCTTCAAGTTTGGCCAATCAATTCCGGGCATTGTTGTGCTGACACAGCTCCCCTTTTTAGAGGCGAAACACCAGGGTCGACGATTCGACAAGCACGCGCAAGACCAACGCTGGGCCCCCCGTAGCCTGAATGCGCCTCAGAATCCAAACCAGCAAACGGTCCTCTCATGAGGCCACCCCGACACCTCCGAGACAGCACCCTCTTCAGGAAGGACAAGGCGTATCAAAAAACCCTCTACAGAATGAAGGGCTTGCAAGCGACGGCGGCAGAGGCACAGCTGAACCTGCCTGGGCTGGGTTTTGCACGACGAGGCTCAGGGCCATCAAAAGTATAATTAGACTAGTCTAATAACTGTCTGACTCATGGGGATTCTGCTGAATACCCACCTGCCGAGATCAAAAGTTGTTCAAAGCTGCTCAGTGGGTCCAGACGGTCTGCGGACTCCCTCCCTGAATGCACGGCGGAGCCATGCAACAGGTTGACCTGAACATGGCTCCGCATTCAAAAAGGTCTGTCAGCGAGATATCTCTGACTCCGCTCTTGCAAAGCTTAGTAAGTAATTATGAATTAATTATTGATTATGAATTGATTAATTATTAATTAATTACCAGTTTAAGCTTTTTCATAAAGATGCCGCAGCCTGAGGGCGAGACATACAGAGAGCAGCAGATGGCGCCGAAGGGAAAACCGGAGGAGAACTTCACGGCATTCCTGGCGAGGGTCGGGGCCGCCTGCCGGGCCAGCTTTTGGATGCCAGGCTTGCGCGCGGGGCAAGACCTTACTTCACCAATAACCGAGGAGTAAGGTTAGACGTTATATAATATCCCGACAGAATGAGAGAAACCCACAAAGCATTAAGCATTATAATGTTCACATACTGGCGAAATAAGAGACTGGTAAGAGGCCAGGAGGTCTGCGACGGAGCCGGCCACTGCACGATGAGACACGCAGGCGAGCCCACCAGCGAAAGCCGTCTGCCACAGCGGCAGGGCCAAGCCGAATGTCCCTGCTGCCAGTCCCTCAGCACGGCCTGAAGCCGGACTCTCCTGTGTCTCTGGCATGGGCACGGAACGTGCGGACCGCATGGACCCAATCGCCCGGCCGTTGTGCACAACTCCTGGGCCCCGCCACGTGTCCGCGGCGACATGGATCACGGGGTAGTCGGGGAGGTCGTGGAGGTCAGGTTGAGGCTCAACAACGCTTGGCTCTGGCAGCGGGCAGGGATTTGCGGCCTGCCAGGGCGACAGCATTTGCATGGCTGCACCTGCGCAGACTGGGAATCTCTGTTGCCACAGGCCGACTCCCCTTGCCTCATCCAATGTTGCCATGTCAGCCTGCACCGCCTCGATACCTGAAGCCACCGCCAATGATGCAACACACTTTAAGCCTCTTTAAACCAAAGTCCGGACGCATCCACCCGTACACGAAAAGCCTTGCAGATCAGGCACATTCTTGCGCCGGGTCCACAAGCTCAAAGTCTGGTGTGGAGGCTGTGTGAGTTGGCACCTCACACTTGCCTTCCGTGGAGGCCTGAAGCAACCACAACCTTCCTTGCTGCACAACGAACTCGATAGCCTTGACGTCCTTGTGGCTTGCAAGGCCTGCACGGCCCAGGACGTCCTTGCAGTGAGCCAAGCCAGCGCAGACAGGCAGCAAGCACTCTTCCAAGGAGGGGTACTCAGAAGAGCGAACTCCTTCCGCGATGCCCTCTGCCTCTGCCCACCTTTGGGATGCCTGCAAAGTTAGCTGTTGATCCGGGCGATTCTGCGCTGAGATGTCCTCCCGCTGTGCTTTCGGCAGCCAGCTTCCCGAAAAGTCGCAGGGTGTGCCATCAGCATTCTGGAGCATCAGCTTCCCTGCTCCCGACTGGAAGTCGTAGTTTCCAAACACCATGGCTTGAACGATTGCTGGCTCTGCCTCTGTGCATTCCGGCTCCTTTCTGTGTACCGCCTCCATGGCCTTCTGCAACTGCACCGTGGGATCTTGGGGGAATGCGTCGCCAGTCTGCTCTTGGTAGATGTCCTTGTATGTCGCAACCAACTGCTGCAGATCATTCGTAGGAATCTCCCAGACTTCATGTTTGCGCCCCAACCGATCCCTCGCATTCAATGCCTCTGTAACCTTCACCAGCTCCTGCTCGAAGGGAGTGCTGTCAAGATTATGCACCACCTGCGCATAGGACACAATGAGGCGCCGGTAGGAGTCCCAGATGCAATTTGGATTCTGGCGAGCTGCCAGATGCTCCGCAATCTCATCACTCAGGCCAATGCTCGAAATCTCCTGCTGGGCGTTCCGCACAGAGAGCAGTAGTGGGGCGTTGCAGTTCCCCAGTTCCTGCTGCATTGCTGCCTCAACCTGATTCAAGGCCATCTTGGCACTGGGCCAAATCTCGGGCCCTGCCTTCAAACAGAAGCCCGGAGGCACTGGAAGGCCTAAGTTCGCCATCTCGCAGAGGCATGCTGCCTGCCAGCCCAGGTGCTTCGCCAGACCCAGGTGCCCGTCAGAGCGGCCGCCGCCAAAGAAGCAGGCCAAGTCTTGGCCGGGTGCCAAAGGCTCCCTGATGCTGGCGACGCTGTCTTCAGAGTCTTCCTCAAAGCCAAGCACGCTCTTGTTTTGAAGGACGTGCCGGATGCGACGCTTCACCGACGGTCCCGACTCCCCGTTGTCGAGGATGTCGCCTAGCGCAGTTCCACACTGGTCCACAGCCACTCGCACGATCTCCTCATCTTGTAGCTCCTCAGCAATGTACTTCAAGGAGTGCCCATTGGCTTGCACTGCTGATAGTGCGAAGGCACGGTCTGTTTGGAGGAGGTCTGCACAATACTGAAAAGCGCGTCCGCACTGCGACACCGCCGCCAAGGCAACCTCCATGTCGGCAGCCACGTCTTTAGCAGCAAACTTCAAAGCCAAACCGTTCTGGCTCACGGCTGCCTGAACCACAGTCCGGTCTGCACGAAGTTCCTCTGCCGCGTACTGCAATGCCCAGCCAGAGCTTGACACTGCCTGGAGCACCACCTCCCGGTCCAACCAAGCCTCTGGCTGCTGCAGCAGCTCGCTCCAGTCCTCCACAGTGCAACATGGCAAGGACGCCCCTAACCCCTAAACCCTAAATATGGAACATCCAGCCATCGGACATTGCTGCACCCTTGTTGCCTTCACCCTCCCAAGCCCCAGCCTCCTCTGCAAGGCGGAGCCACTCCACCTGTTCCCAGGAGCGGCGGACCAGCGTGAGCTCCAGTGGACCCTCCGAGCAAAGCTCTCCCAAAAGAGCGGCATCGTTGGGTTCACCTTGGGTACGAGATGTCTGAGTCTGGGCGGAGTTGAAGGAGGGCCATGGTTGAGCATTTTGGGACTGAGCCTTAGCCTATCCTAGGCCTTCGCTGTCATCGTGATGCAGCCTACTCCTCGGCACATGCCAGGGATACACATGTGCGGCTACGTTGCGCAAGCCATGGATCAAGCGCTGTTGGCGCCAAGAGATTCCTTGATCATCCTTGCAGGGCATGAGCCTAGCTCTTTCGGCCACTGCTACCAAACTTTCACATCTCCCCCCCCACCTGGATGGCATGCTTCAGAGCACGGAGGCACCATGACTTGCAGGCATTCACTGTGCACAGATGTCCCGAAGGTCCACTGATGGCCACGCTCAGAGGCTCGGCCACACAAGACCCCCGTGGAACGGGCTCCATCCTTCTTCCAACACGCTGGAACTAAAGTAACTAAAGAAGCTAAAGCATCTTCCGTAGCACTGCCTTTGGCTCGTGACGGCGGCGCCATGTACGTGTAAGGTGCGTGCGTGTCATGCCAGGCCGTGCAAACTGCAATGCTGCGTTTCTTTGCCGTTTGCCTATTGCAAGGCCCTACAGTAGACTCCATAAAGTTGGGAACATGGTTTAAGGACAGTGCTGGGATTCCCTTTAGTGACCCTCTTGGGCTATGAGGATAATGATGTTCCGACTGTTGCGAGTTTACTGTATTGCAAGGCTCCTTCGGCCACTGCGACTTTGGGCACCCAGCTCGCCTGCGCACATCCGATCTTGGCGACGGATCTCTCCTTTGGAGAGTTTTTGCCTCCTGGAAGGTGCCACCCTCAAGCGGTGAGACGATGCGTAGCTGGAAACGCGCTCTGGGGCAGCGCTTCAGACTGCTTTACGTCACGCGCTTGTATCGACAGATGTATGCCGGATACACCTGATTCTCGTCGAAAACGACAATCTCCCGGTACCTCTCTGCAGCAGAAAGCGACCGCAAGAGGTGAACTGTGAGCTTGCCCTGCCTTCATCAGTCACACTTACGACCCCAAGAAAAATCACCACTCGCAGCCCAGCGGCGTCCCACGGATCTTTTCCTCAGGTCTAGGGAGTTCAGCCCTCAGACCCGAACAACCCCGCGGAGACCCCGAAGCCAAAATCAACCACCCTAACCCTAAACCCTAAACCCTAAACCCTAAAGAACGGATCAGAAGAGTGCCGGCTGGGCCCCAAACGTCCCCAATGCAGTGTCAGTTGAGATGAAGATTTCAGGAGGCCTCCATTGAAAACCCCATGTTCATGGGACCGCGGCGTGAGCATGGTCCACTTCACAAGGATGCCCATGGACGGATGCGAGGGCACGATGTCGAACACGGCAGCACGCCGTGAGATGCCAATCCCCTAACAACGCAAAAAGCAAAGCCGTCAAAGAGTGTGAGCCGTATGGTGTGTACCTCAAAGCCTCGCGACAAAACCCCGTTACAAGCGGGCAGGTTAGGTGCGCGTGAAGTCACATCTCCCCAGTGACACGCGGCTGCGAGCGAAGTCACATCACGTATCACAGAGACATCTGTTGAAGCCTTTCCCCCAATGCAAAATATGCACTTGTCAGCGTGAATGAGATTTCTGCTTGGCGGTGCAAGTGGGTTCTGACCAATCCTGGAATTCGCGAATCCCCAGTGTGCACGCCCGAGATACGACTCTACACAAAGAGATACGACTTAACCTACCCGCTTGTACTTCAAGAACTCCAAGCAAGTACGAGTAAATGGCATGAGCATTTATGAGCTTAACCCTGAAGCTTCTCTTTCACCCAAACCCCCTTCAGAAGCCGACACTCCGAGTAGAAGAATACAAGCTCTTGAGAACCGAAGGCTCGCGGTCACCGAGAATGCTGTGAAAGCCACCACCTTTGCAGGATGCTGCGAGCTCGTCCCCATCGGGTCGCTTTTGGTCGTTGTAGTTCCTCAAAAGCTCGTGTCACCCGGCTTGGGGGCTTAGGGCTGTAGATTAGAGCCTATGCTGATTGCATTCCCACGTCTGGGTTCACAGAAGAACCTGCAGAACAGAAACCTAGGCTTCGGAACGGGTAGGGTTTCGGCATATGCGCGCAGCGTCTCACCAGCTGCGAACCGCTGCGACAGACTTTTGACAACATTCGGTGCCAAGAATCACACGCCCAAGGGTACTCAAGCAAATCAACATGCTGCGCAGGCCGTTGGACTGTGGCGTAGTGTACTCATCACTCTTGGACACCGCCTCACCGGCAAGACTCCAAGCAAAACCTTCATGCTACTCACACTCACAATGTGGCAGGACAGGTCCGACATTTCTAAGCTCCTACACTCCCCCAGCCGGGAAAATTTGCGCCTCTGCCAAATACACGCCATTTCCTTCAGTTCAAACTGAGGTGCACCCACGACGTGTTCAATCATTCTCAACTGCCAACAACCTGAGAGAGGTAAGCTCCGCGCCGTACAGAGTGCCAGCATTGCTGCCCGCCAGGTTCAAACGGAAGTCGCCTTCCGTAATTCCAGCCTCGCCCGCAAGGGACGTGCCATGATACAGCCAGTGCTCATTGGCTCCATGATCTGCCTTTGTCACATGCCAATCAGGAGCCTCACCATGTGTGCTGCTATCTGTCTTCAACTCGCCAACCCATGAAGCACCGCCTTTGGCCATGTCCTGCAAGACACTACCCCGACGGCGGGCATATTCCCCCCAGCTCCCGCAGTTGAAGACCTGCTCCACTTCGTGGACTTCCAAGGACTTCGGAACACTCTCACCCTTGCGATCTCGAGTGTAAATCCCCAGAAACGTCTTCTCGAAGAGCCCTTTCAACCATTCAAACTGAGGATGATCGGCTGGGAGGGCCCTCTTGATCACAATGTCCCCTGCAGAGAATACAATATCACTCAGACCTCCATCACCACCTTCCAGTCCCTGCTTCAAGAGGTCCAACAGATTCCAGCCGGTCGGAAGCTGAAGCTCTTGGCAATACCAAGCCACCAGTGTCTCTAAATTTTCGCCAGGCACACCTGCGGCGACTGAGGCCAAGCGCGCCGTGCCCGACGGCAACTCCTCGTCGCCCTCTCCACCTCCACGTTGGTTCTTGGAGGCAGAGATCAGCCCAGCGGCTACAAACAGCGCGTAGCGCACGGCATCAGAGGTGGTAAGGCCATCTGCGACAGAATCTTTTCCTGCGCATGCTGTCCGCCCAACACACCCCACGCACGTGACGACCCCTACCCCCCTACAAACCCCTACTACTATCCCCCCCTACTACCCCCTCCTACCCCCTGCTAACCCCTTCTGCCTCTACTACACCCCCACAACCCGCATCACGGTAGCGAACACGATGGCCAAGGCTCCAGAGGCACAAGCCTCGGCGGCCCAGCGCAGCCGAGCTGAGATCTGCTGCGAGAGCAACTCTTCGAGCTCCTTGAAAACTCAGCACTGGAATTCTAGAGGGTTTAGGGTTTAGGTTCTTTTACTATTCAGGGTTTAGGGTCACAAGGGTTTAGGGTTTTCGATTCACGGGTGGATAAAAGGTTCCAAAGCCGCTTTCCGAGCTTGCTTGAACGTTTGGAAACTCTCGGCGGCTACTCGGATCAGCATTCTCACATTTCTCCAAGGGATGTTCTTCACACCTCCTTCAGATTTTCCATTGATGTCCTACTTGTGCGAGTCTGCCCTCCCCGACCCACCCCGATCTTCTGGACCCCGGTATTTTAACCTTCGATTCCCTGCCAGCTTTTGCTGGAAGAGCGCTCCAATCTTGGTGTCCACTCTCTCTTCCACTCTTTCTTCCATCGAAACCTGTAGGTGGCATCAACAGCCCTTAGCATCGGTCTCTCTCCCCCAGTGGTTCTCCCGACTGCCAACAGTAAAACATCTGGCGCTAACAAACAGGCGCGCATATTCTCGTGTATTCCGTGCGCGCGTTGATGAGCGAGCGCGATGTGGGAGGAAACAGAGTGGCCAGGCTCTCGCAAGCCAGAACACTCTGCAGCCGCCTCATTCGAAACCCCGAGTTTCGCTAGGACCTGCACCCGAAACCAGCTGTTGCCACATAATATATATATATATATATATATACATATATATATATATGTATATATATATATACTTTCTTTAAAGAACCTGTGGCTACAGCGATAAAGTACTAAGTGCATATACGACGGGATAAATATGGAAAATGCCACCATCAAAGAATAGATGGCATGCCATAGATGCCTCTGCATCTTCCCGGGCCCCTTGTTGCGGCAATCTGGGCTCCCCTGGGTTTAGGGTTTAGGGTTTGGGTTTGATGCTTTAGGGCCCGGAAAAAAAAAAAAAAAAAACAAAGCCCAAACCCCATCCTGGGGGCTGAGAAGCTCGCTGCAGTCGGCACCCTTGTCCGCCCGGCTCACCAAGCGCAGTAGCTCCCAGAATTCGCTCTGGAGAACCTCTTGGGCTACATGCCACACTAGCTTCTTAGCAGGAATCGCCCACACTGAAAAGGAACAAGGATTGGGGTCGAATGAGGAGATGGGGCCATGATGTCGCTCTGCGGGGACTTTCGGGGCTCAGGGAGGGGTGAAGTCGAGTTCTGGGCTGCCAGTGTGCCATGCCTCTCCCATAGTGTTGATGCTCTTCACCTGAACTTTGTTCTCGGTCTCTCGCCCAAGGTCAACCCGTGGATTGGCAGCTGCAAAAGCAGCAGCTTCCCCTGCAAAATTGACCTCCGCTGATCCATGCAGGTTCTCCCGGACTTTCAGAATCAAGGGGGAAACCAGAGCTGTCACCTTCCCTCTTGGCAAGTCCTCTGTCGGAATGGTTCGGACAACTTCGAACTCAATGGCTAGTCTCATTAAGCGGAAGAGATCCGCCGCCGCCTTCATGCCATCGCACGCCTCGCAAATGTATTCGTACATCAGCTTCTCCAGCGCTTGCTGTGTTTCAGGGTTGTGCTTCGAGCATTGGCATGGCAAGGCCCGCCCTGGAACCCCGTTGACAGGCTCGAAAAGAGCTTTTGGATAGGCCCGGGCAACCATCATCACGGTGTCTGCCTTCATCGTCTTGTTCTCGGCTGCATAGTGCAATGGCAGGCGCTTGGCGTAAGACGTCTTCACGCTCAATCTCTTGCCCCAGAGCGACAAGTCGGCGCCCTTGCCGATGATGAACTCCAGGAAGGTGTGCACGGATGCCACTTTCGTCGTCAGGCATGCGGCATGGACAGGGGCAAACTCCTCCCAACCCAGCTTCCCAGGCTCTGCTGGGATGGTTGAAACGGCATTGAAGCTCTTCGCTGACTCTGCCAAGGTATGCAGCATCGTTTGCGCCTTGTCAGCTGGCCCCTGGAGCAAGGCGCTGCACAACAGTTTGCCGTTGCCTGAAGGGCAGGCGCGCACGCACGCACTTGCTTGCTTCGGAGTTGAGTCTTGTCGGACCTTGTACACAGACACGCACACACACACACACACACATGATGACTAGCAAAACATGCGATGTCAGGCTAAATCAAATGCAAGTTCCTGGAATGCCGTGCTTGGTTACCAGTGTGTCGATCATATCGAGATCGCCAGCAACCACGAATTCCTGCATTCCATCTTGCAGCAAACCTGTGGAGAAGTTGTACTTCAGTGCTCGCGGAACAAGCAGAAGGATACAGTCCCAATGCCGGTTTTTGATGGCTGCGATCAAGGGGTTGACCTCCGGATCATCTCGCCCGATGTAGGGTTTCACACCCAGGTCTAGCAAAGCCTGCAAAGCTTCCGCATGGCCCGCGCCCGCCGCAGCTACCGTTGCTTCTCTTGCACCTTGTAGTCGGATGCATTTCTCCCACTTGGAAATCAAGTCTCTCACTTGGTTGACCTGCCCATGAGCAGCCAGTGTGTTCAGCGTTGTGAAAAACCAGTCTTGGGCATCCTGGTCGCCCCGTCGAGCCTTTTCTATGCGTCGAGAATCCTCATCATCCGGTTTCCAGGCTGCGGAGCCCTTTTCCGGAGGCTTGCTGGCACCGCTGCCCATGTAGCACCCTATAATCTATGGGCCTCAGGTTTCCACCGCCTAACGTGCAAGAGTCCTGCACACATCCGCAGGGAGCCATGCAAGGCAGATGTGTGAATCGCTGAATGGTCATGTGCACACTCCGTGCACGGGCGGCGGGTTGAAGGACCCCACTTTTCATGAACCGTGGTCTCCCAGCTCTCACCCATCATAAAGAGGGAAATCCTAAACCCTAAGCCCTAAACCCTAAACCCCAAACCCTAAACCGTAAGCCCAAAAACCGCAACCCCAGGCAGCAGCGCACAGCCCTTTTTCGCGGCACTCGGGGGCTGCGCCGCCTCGGCGTCACAGGGGCCCTGGCTCGGAAAGAGCTCCGTCATCCGAACTGCGGAGAAAGGCTCCGAGTCTGCCTCGACAGGCTTGGCTCTTGGCGCCCCTTCGAGTCCCTGCGACGCTTTTTCAGCTCTTTCCGGCTCCCTCGCCCTCCCTCCTAGACCGAAGGCCTGAACTCTTCCGCTCTTGCTCTCCTGAGCCCTTCCTGTACGCAGAAAATTGATTTTCCTCTCCAGACGGGCAAGATGCAATGCTTGAGGGTGCCCAACAGTGCCCAGCTTTAAAAGAAAAAAGAAGAAGTCCAGCGGCAGGACATCCTCAAATACACCGGCGCTTATAACACCAAGCAACAACGCAGTTCTTCTCAACACTTGAAAAACGGTGTTTGGGGGTGGCTTGGGGTTCTCCCGTGGGGTTTTGCGCCTTTAAGTCGAAGAAGAGGATGGGTGTGGGCTCGGTTCTGCCACACGCCTTGTCGTGCGCATGCAGCGCACACGGTTGCATGGTTCTCCACAAGTACTGCCACACTTTCACATCACTTTCACATCTGGTCTGTTCAAGCTCGCACCCATACTTTGCCCCCACTTGCTGTGTTTGCTACAGCCCGCCGTGTCCATTATGTCTTGCGGCACTTTAGCAAAGTCACACAAACTGATGCGGCACCACAAGACTTGTTAGAGTTACAGAACCTGGGACAACAAGACCAGTGACAGAACCCTGGCCACAAGCCTTGTCGTAGCTGTCTCGCATCTTCCGAAAGACCTGGTAGCGGCAGTTCTCCACCTGAAGGGCTTGTCATAGCCTGTGCTTCAAGCGGGAAGGTAGCAAGGAAAATCCTGCAGGCAACCTGTTATTATTATTACCATTCTTTTGTCTATTGTTTAAATTCTTCTTATTACTATTATGATTATTAATGTTCCTAATTGTATAACTCTTCTATTCTTGTACTACTTGGTGACTTCTACCATGACTAGCTTTATTCCTGCTATCCCTATTACTACTACTTTATTCGTCTTCTCCTACTATTTCATCACAAGTTTTTTCCCATCTCCACGCCTGCCGGCCATGCTCATCCAAGGCAGCTGGGGGCTGCACCCGCGCGAAGGCACTCAGGCCGTTGGTTCTGCACTGCCAGAGTCGCAGCTGGTTCAGGTTGAACCGACTTGGCACACCTTCCTAGGAGGGCCCTTACAACCAGTAATAAGAGTTATTGTCATTGTTGTAATCGCAGTAACAATAGTACTAGTAGCAAATCATAATAAGAATAATAACAATAATGACAGAAATAGTAATAATCCTCTTACCCCCCAAATAAGGGGAAATATAAAAAAGGTCCCAAGAGCCTACCTAGCTTCTTTCTGCATCTCCTCGAAGAGCATGGCCGGAGTGCCCACCTGCACCATGACCTGCACCATGACCGCAGAGTCTCAACCATATCAACCATGAACCCGTGGGCCGGAAAGCACTTAGGGTTTAGGGTTTAGGGTTTTAGGGTTTAGGGTGTTTAGGGTTTAGGGTTTTTTCCCACCCGTGTCGCAAGCGAGGGTTTAGGGTTCAGGGTTTTTTTTTGCCACCCGCCTAGCTGACCTCTCGGACACTCTGCAGGCTTTTAGGGTTTAGGGTTTAGGGTTTAGGGTTCAGGGTTAGGATGTGCAAAACTCATTCTTTAGGATATCATCCGATCACACTCTCGTTTGCCATCAGCCACGAAGAAGCACCGCACAGCCTCGTTGTATCCCAGGGTGTGGTGCCTCACTCCAGCGGCTACTTGGCTTGGAGATGGCTTCGGGTTGTAGCGCTTCTGATCCGCGACGAACCTCCACCACGTGGGAGCCCGACCCAAAGCCCTTTCTGCGAAGACTAAATGCCCTGAAGCTGAAGACCCCCCACAATTTCGCCTGGCTCAACCAACAAGACAACCCTCTAAACTTTGTACCATCCTTTTTTACCTCAGCTACATCTGCAACTAACAACCCTTAACACAAAAAGCTTTACACCTCTAAACGCCCTCAAGAAAACCTTTAAACCCCTAAAACCCTAAACCCTAAAACTCTAAGAGCCTTAAACCGCGAAGCACCTCTGCATACCCGCCGACTGGGGGTTGAATCGGCCACTAAAGCCCAGCTTTGGTGGCAGAAACTTTCGATCCACGCGCCATGATCCTGTGCTTCCTCGCAGCTCCTGGATTTGGGGGCCAGCTGCCTGTTCACAGCTAGGTTTAATCAGCTGGGTTTAGGGCTTACGGCTTAAACCCTGTGGCGATATGTAGCGTCTTTTTGAGGTTGTCAACTATAGCGAGAAGATGCCTACCTCTAAGGTATCCTAGATTATCCTACCCCAAGCCTCAAACGGTTTGGGTCTGCGGGTTTCAGGTAGGGGTGGAGCTGAGGGTTATAAGAGGATTTCGGCGGGGTCCCAAAACAGCAATTGCCCGGTTTAGGATTTAGGCCTTCGGGGTTGATAGTTTATTGATCTGCATCAGGAACCAGGAAAGAAAGGTGAACATCAGGTTCAAACTCCCAGGGATATGCAAGATTCGGAGCCCGGCAGTTTGAATGTACAGTCATCCGGCGAGCTCAGGCACCGCGATATTTCCCAGCCGCCGGCGCCCTTCCATTCTTCAGCGCAACCTGTGAACTCACCAGCCCGATTTGTGCCAGCGTCCTCCACGAAGCCACATCCCACGATGGGATTGGGTTGAAACACCGCAAGGATCTTGTGCGACTCCGCGGACCTGCCGCACGCGTAGCGGTTGCAGCCGTACAGGGATGTCCCAGCTTCACGCAGCTCGTCGTCATGGACGCCGGGCCGATAAGCACCAGCAAGCTCTTGATTCACAAAGGATGCAGATGTGAACCAATTCCCCGCGATACCCTGGCCAGAGCTGTGATCTTTGCACCTGGGCCACTCTTCGAGCATATAGCCCAAGTCCAAGTAGCCCTCATCCTGGGGCTGCTGTCCATGCCTTAGGCCCAAGATTTGTGAGACTTTCTTGTCGAAGCCTGTCTTTTGGGTACCTCCGGGTCGAGTGGCGAGCAGCTTCACGATGACTCCTTTCTGGAATTGCTCGTTCAGGGCACGCGCGACTTCCTTGTCTCGCTGGAATCGAACCGTTTCCTCGAGTGCATCAGCGGATGCACCAGTGCTTGTGGATGCAGCGTGGCCTGTGGCTTCGCCAGGCGGTGAGAAACTGCTTGGCCACATCTTGTGCTATCAGCTGAAGGAAACCCGAAAAACCTTGCTCCCGTGGCTTTGCGAGCCAATTGGCTACCCTTCTTTTCCAGGTCAACCCTGAACCGAACCCAAGGGAAAAGCGGCTGCGAAGAAGAGAGCAAGGCTTTGACAAGATGAATGTGTAATTCAAAAGGCCAATCGGATCCCTCACGGTAGCCCAAGCATCGGCTTCTTTTGTTTACCAACTGCTGGTGCTCACACAACAGAAGCACACTCACCGCGAAGAGTGTAGCCTTAGATACCCAACCGCTGCTGCAGCTTCATGTTTCGCAGGGGGACGAGCTGAAGAGATCGGGGACCCTCTCGTGCAGTCTCATGCCGATAACTGAGCTTCCGACCTGCGCCACTAACGTAGACACTAGTCATCACTTAGGCTTGAATCTTGAATACTTCAGACAAGAGACCGACTGTCCCTTCAGGAAGGAGGCAGCCACGCTCTGCACAGTTCGCCACATCACAAATGGCACCATGCCCGTTGGAGAGCGCGCACCTGATTGCGGCTTCATCACAATCCCGGGGCCTAATGAGTACCTGGCTCCAACTGCTCCACAAATTGTGGGAGCTGCACTAAATCACAGTACTTTGCAGGGCTCGAGCTGCTACCTGTGCAAGCTTTCTGATCCCGCCCCCTCCCCCCCACACCCAACCTTTGCGTGACCATATACTTGGGCGTGGGTGCGTGCAACTTCCCCCAGCGCGAAGTAAATCCCTCTGCCCGTTGACAGCTGGAGGCACTTGGCTGCTGCATGAAGTCGCATGCCATCGATCAACGATTGGCCTCAGCACATGCGCCGTGAAAGCAGGCGATCTGCATACAGGAAAGTGGAGCCTCGAATTGGGGAGACTTGGGGCAAATGACCAGCCCAAACCCTAAACCCTAAACCCTAAACCCTAAACCCTAAACCCTAAACCCTAAACCTTAAACCCTAAACCCTAAACCTAAACCCTAGACCCTAAGCCTCTTGTCAGGTCCAGAGGCTAACTTCTGGTAGCGGCGACGCACTCCACACCTTCCACGCCAGCTCTGCCGCATCGCTGTCAGCTCGATCCATCATCTCCTGGTCTGATGCTGCTCACCTGCTACTGGTAATTAGGGTTTAGGGCTTCGGGTTTACAGGGTTTATAGAGTTCAGGGTTTAGGGTTGAGGGTTTAGGGGTGGTTTTGTTCTTCGACACCTTTCCTTACAGGAAAATCGAGGCGCCGTCCTGAAGAGCCCGAAACAGACAGCGACACAACTCATCTCACCCACACCACACTGGAAAGTGCAAGTCCTTCATGGAGATGTTCTGGTAGGACTTTTCCAGCGACCCACACGACTGCTTGGAGACCTCTTCTGCGTAAGTGATGTTATGCACTGCCTGGTAGCGGTCCAAGCCATACCTGGGCGAACTCCGACAGGCAAGAGATCTCAACCAAAGTCTTAATGTGCCCGGCTGCGTACGCGTTGTGACATTGACGAAAAACAGCTGCAAATCTGCCCCTCCCCCCCCCCCCCCGGAACTCCTAGGAAGCTCTTCCCAAAGCAGAAATGGCCACTTCAAGTCATGGTGCCAGCCCATAGCGTAGCAGTATAAGTCGTCGAAGGGGTAGATGTGGTCTCGAATTGTGATCTGAGACCCGCCTCGCGGGTGCGTGGAAAGCTGAGATCTTCGTGTCATGTGCCCGAAACACATGCTGATGCTCGGCAAGGCCCCGGGGCCGAACGCGAGAAAATCAGGTCTTTCCCCCCACCCTTTTCAAACCGCAATCCCTTGCCCGTAATTGCTTTCCGTCACCAAGAAAGAGCTGGCTTCTATCGAAGCCAATCAGAGAGAGCACGGAAGATCCCTACCAATTGTTTTTTCTGGTCCTCAGCCCTAAACATCCTCAAGCCCTATTATATGGACACATGCGTGCAGGGTCTGGTCTACATGTTTGTTCCTGGCAAGTAGTACTAGCATGCTGCCTCCTGAAGGGTCCTGCTTTAGGGACGGCCTGAAACAAACAACAGCAAGAAATCACAGAGAACACAAGCAGGTCCATATACGGAGCCATTCAACAACATGAACTCAACGGGAGCTTTTTTCAACAGCAAACCCCCACATTTTCTTGGCCAGGATTATTTCTGCGGGGGACTCTGCATACTGTGCGGCGAAAAAGGCGCACGTTCACTTCCAGAGCTCCCCACACCACCACGATGTCTACCCGCAGTGATATTTTTAGACATCTGAAACTCTGCTGCGGCGGCTGCCCTCTCGCTGGAAAACGCGCATGTAGGTAGCTGTTTAGGAAGCCAGCCTTACCAGCTTCGCCGAGAGATGAAAGCAAGGGCAGTTGTCGTGACAACATGCGCAGGTGCACTGGAAGCTTGACGTGCTTGACAACATGCAACATGCGATAGCGAATCGGCACCATGACTCACAACCTCTTGTGAACAAGGAACTCCACAGGCCGGCCTGGTAGTTGTACCCTTTTGGGTCCCATTAGCTTGGGGACCGGCAGATACCGACTATACATCGCATCACCCATTGCCGCAAAGCCCACCATGCTCCCAGATCGTCGAGCTACCTCGAGATGCGGCGATATTGGAAACAGCAGGCAACACTGGTCCAAACTTGAAGGAAACGGACTGCGCACGTGCGGTCATCAACAAAAGTTTCCTCCGTCACATGGCGATACGCAGAGCATAAAGAAGTGCAAGCTTGGTTGCCGCGCATTTCGACGCCCAAATTCCTGCCGGCATGTGAACTTTTGGGGATGCTCACACCAGGCACTTGGCTATTGAAAACGGGAGCACGGTCCCTCTGCCACTACCGCGCACATGTACGAGAACGGCTTTTCTGGTCGTGGACGTGCAAAATCCTGGGTGTGTATATCTATATCTATATCGTATATCTCATATCTTATGTCGTATATCGTAAATCGTATATCCTATATCTTATATCCTATATCCTATATCCTATATCCTATATCCTATATCCTATATCTTATATCTTATATCTTATATCTTATATCTTATATCTTATATCTTATATCTTATATCTTATATCCCATATCTTATATCTTATGTATTATCTTATATCTTATATCTTATATCTTATATCTTATATCTTATATCTTATATCTTCTATCTTACATCTTATATCTTATATCTTATAGCTTATTTCTTATATCCTATATCTTACTTATTATATGCACACACGATCAGCTTCCTGGCTCATAGATATAACTTAAACCCGAAACCCTAAACCCTACACCACACCACACGCTTGGTCAACGACTTCTCGTTGGGGGACCTATCCATCCACACCAAGTAGCTGCGCACCTACCTAGCATTTGCTTAGCCACCGATGGTGCTGTGTTGTACACAATCTTCCCGATCCCTTCAAACCACTGGCCCGCAAGGTTCACCGAACCCTTGATTCCAGCGGATGCCTCCTTTGACATTGGCGTGGTCTCCCGTGGAAGAAATACGAAACTTGGCAGCGAATTTGACGAGCATGGGTGTTGCTGGTGAGTCGTGATTGTTGTTCATGTCCGCTGCTGCCCACTATAAAACGGCGTCAGGCCCCTGAAGAACCGCTGCAATTATTGTACCATACGAGTGGACGCACCGCGTCCTAGAGCACCGAAGATGCACCAGCCGTCCTCGCCTGTCCCGGGCACACTACCGTCATCTCTTGGAATCCCTTGAAAGATGTTGAACGCTTCGCCAAACTCCGCAAGACAAAAATCAAGATAATCGAGGTGTACAGGACACCGACAACCTTGTGTCAACCTTGCTATTGGCATTGTCAACCAAACCCGGCCTGGATGCTCGGCCAGCACATCACGAATAGGGCGGGCGAGTTCGACGTCCTCCACGTGGCAGTGTTGTGTGACCTTGCTCCCTTGCCATGCTTTTCTGCCAACCAAACAAAAGCACAACGCGGCCAGGATCCAGCCTCAATTTGCATGCACACGCCATCTTCAGAAGAAGCTGCGCGCCGTGCCTGCAAAAAACTTGGTTTGGCTTGTTGACATGGCCAAGCACATACACAGCAACCCACTCCGAAGCTGACGTTCCGCCGCGTGCCACCGTGCCTGGAAATGCGCCCGCGATTGAACAAAAAAAAGTTCTCCATGATCCTGACGTGGCAAATTCAAGAATCGCAGCGATGTGGATCTTTTTTCAGGGTTTCAACACTGCATTGCGCATCGTTCAAGTCGAACATGGGTCCTCGAAATCGAATGGCGCTGCATGTGTGACGAAGGCCAGACCCACCTCGTTTCGGCAGGGCCCGTTTCCGAACACGAACGCAACACAACCAGCACAAACGCTTTTTACACACGGCACCATACACTAGGCTTTGACGAGGTTCCAGGACCAGTATCCGCACATGCATTGGGGATATGCCACAACAAGCGTTCGCCATGGCTCAGAGACGTAGTTCCATTGGCGACATTATGGTACGTTACATGTCTTGACTGGACTGCTACTTGGCATTCTACGCCCACTCCTCAACATAAGAATTTATGTTATGAAAGCTTCGTTCCTGTGCTCGCGCAGGGTTCCGCAGCACAGCGAAACGAGCTGATTCCAATATAATCCAATTGAAGCAAGCCGTCGGCCCAAAGGAGCCCAAAGGAATCCCGCAGCGGAATCTAGTGAACTCAGAACTTACTTCTCCAATAGTTTTTTCCTACTAAATAAGAAAACCCAAAAAGTTTAAAGTTCACCTGTTGGAGAAGTAAGAGAAGGAAGCACGTGAATGAAGCGCTTTATTGTTCGCCTCTTCTTCTTGCTCACGAAGCTTAGAAAGAACATGGCAGCATTAGTCGGTCGCCTTGTTCCCCACCTTCAGTTTGCGCAATGCGGGGCGCGGCAGCGGCAGGCCCGCAAGCGGACCAGGCACCACTAACGCTGCCTCGGCGTTCCAGCGCCCCCCAACCTCGCAACCAAGCACGCAGAGCTGTTGCCCCGCTCGTTTGCGCCGCTCTGCGCACGGCCCCGTCGCGGTCCGCGGCTCCACAGTGCGGCATGCCATCCCTAGCCAGCGGCAAAGCGCCCCAAACGTTGTGTTTTTTTTCTCACGCCTCTTTTGCTGGGGGGGCTGCTCGGCTGAGTCAGCAACGATTTTGCTGATGAGAGGCGATTCTCCATCAACGTTTGCTGTGACGGAGATGGGAAGGGCAAGGAGGCTGGCTGCAAAAGAACGTGCGGCTGCAAAGGCGAGGAGCGCCGACCAGCGCAGCGCAAACGCGGCTGCCCGTGACGCAGCAGGAGCGGCTCGGGCCCGGCATCGAGCAAGCAGCCTGACAAACAGGGCGGCCTGGCGGCTCCAGCGCCCGCCAACCTCAAGGCCGAGGACGACGAGCCGGCATCGGCGGCAAGACACCCTCAAGACACCAACCCTTCAACCTCCGTACCCAAACCTGGAACCCCTTAATTAAGCCTTAAGCCCCTATCCTCTAAACTCCTCGTCGAAAGGAATGAGTTGGGCTCTACATCCCATGCTGTTTGTTTAACATGACAGGCAACCCCATAACTTATGTTAACCGATAATTCCCCGCTTATTTTTTTGACCCCCCCTACTGTAGCAAAATAAGCGGCGGGGAAGCCCGGAAATAGGCGGCAGTGGGGGTAACCCCCCCCTCATTCCCAGATTTTTAAGGGGGGGGCCGTGTTGCATCACTGGCGCCAGCCTCCCGACAAGCTCTGGCAGCCGCTCGTTCAAGCGGGCCTCCACGTGAGCGCAAGACACCAGACCTGGGGCAGGCTGCAATGTGATCTCCGAAAACATCACACGGCTGGTGGCACCGGCACCTAGCTGCTGTGAGCGGGAGCGGCAAACGGCGCCGTCGCAAAAGCAGCACACGGGACAACGGGGATTCCAGAGTGAGTTCAGGCGAAGTTGGCCACGCAGTGAATACACGGGCAGCGTACGGCCCAGCCTGGGAGTCAAGCAGGGCTGCACCAGTTCCTGCAACAGGGCTCGCTGGCAAAAGCTGTCGACGGCTTGCGAGGCAGCGCGCTGCCACCCACGCGTGTTGTCGAGCTGCGGCTCATCGTCGCCAAGCACAGGCAACGTTTTGATTTCTTTGCGATCCGCCAGGATCATCTCCCCCTGAAGCCCAGTACCCGCCCCTAGTGTGGCGGCCTTGGGGCGGCCACCGACCGCCAGCCGCGCCCGGCCACCCAACAATGTCCTCCTCCGCGACATGAACCTTGATGTACTGCCGGCGGATGCCCGCTGCATCGAGGTACTGGCAAACAGGCGCCCTTTCTGTCAGGGAGCGCAAGTCGCGGTCGACACCACGCTGGTGAGCACAGTCTCACAGGACGGCACGGCTGGAACTTTTAATGCGACGTGCGTCTGCAATGGGCGGATGGCCAGTGGGACGGCAGCGTCGGCGAGCTGCTGCGTGGCGGAGTGCAAGGTCAGGGTCAAGGTCAGGCCCGAGAGACTTGTCTTCGAACGACCATGTGTCATGGTCAGAAAGTGAAACATACTACATGACGTAACAGGATCACCAATCACCATACACGGCGACAACAATATACGATGCAAGGCTAACAACAATGCGCCAACAATGAAGTACTACAAGGTTCGGAAAGGTTTTTTTTTGGCGCACCTTTTTCCTCCGAATCCGCCGTCCCAGACGCCTACTGGCCGGAAGCCCGACGACCTACGGAAGGCTGAGGGAGCCGACTGGGCGCCGGGTGCTCAGCGAGGTCGAGCACCGTCGCTAGAGGCTGTGCATCAACCTGCCCTGGGAGGGGGGGCATCGTCCACTCGCCGAGCGCGGCGCTGCACAGGGCGCGCTGCACGGCAACAGACAACGCACTCCACCACCGGCGCTCCCAGCCATGGCCGGCAGCCGCTCGAAGGACGGCCGGTGCTCGGTGCGCGCGCAGCCCCGGATGAGCTGCTTGAGCAGACGTTTGGGACTCGTCGTTTTTAGCGCCCTCCGACTTCGGCAGCCAACACCTTTCAACACCCACAGGCGCTGTGCCCGGTGCAAGAAAGGCAGGCACAGACCGCATTGTGAAAACACGGCAGCGAAACTCCTCGTCCAGGCGGGCACGTCTGAAGTTCCCGAAAGCCCGAAGGCAGCCCTTGGAGGGATTAAGGCACAACTTCGTCACGCGTTTTCAAGGGTAAGCCCGAAACGGCAGGCAAGGGCGTGGTCTTGCTGTCCACAACCTGGGTCTGGGCCGCAGCGATTCGGGCACACGGGGCAGGGGCAGGCGCGGGCGACGCCGCAAAGCGATCTGCATAGCTTGCGGGGTCAGCATGAGGGCCCGGCGCGCGGCCAACCTTGCGAGCGTAGCAGGATGGACACAAACTCGCCATATAGTACATCTAGTATGGCATGATGCTCGCTGAGAAAGGGGCATGAAATGAAGCCTCTGAGAGGACATTCGAAAACCTCTCGGACCAATTCAACAGCTGACTCCGCAAGCTGCGCACAACTGGCCACCAATCACGCGCCAACATGGCGAAACGCCCTTAACAGCCGCAAGCGGGCACGTGGCCTTGCAGGACATGGGGCAGCAGCTCCGCATGCAGCAACGGGAGCACTGGCCAAGCACCCCAAACAAACCGCAAGGCAAGCTGCGCCGCATGCAAGCTAGGGTCAGTAAGGGGCGCGGCATCAATTTGCAACAGGTGGGCCCGGCCCTGGTCCCAGTTTCACAAGCCCAAACCCTAAGCGCGCGAAAGCACAGAGGCTGTTTCGGGGGTCCTACTGGGCTCAGGGTAGGACACTCCTGTTTCTCCTCGCTTGAAGCCTCAAAAGGGCTGCGGTGCGCAGTGGTAAACTATACAGCGTAGGGGGTAGCCTTAAGCTCAAGCCCTCGGAGTGTTGGGTAAATTAAACTACTTACCGTAGACAAATCGCACCCCCCTCCAACCTCAGAGGGTTGTGCACTGTTGGGATGCTGGCCATCCTTCGAGTTCAGGGCAATTCTGAAAGATGTGTGCCCCGTTCTCGAGCCTTAGGTGTCTGGGGAAGTTTTCCAGGCAGTGAACACAGAACTGTTCAACCACGATGTTTTGCTGGTGGGATGGATTCAGCCCAGAGCAGTTCCTGAATATATGCGCAGTCCTTCGGCACGGTGCATAGTAGATCTCCCCGGGTTCTCGCCGGGGTAGTTCGTCGATGTGCTCGATGCTGTCGATCTCCCTGTGCGGGTTGTGGTGGTAAGGCAGAAGCTGCGCCTTGTTGGTCCACTTCAGGGGGTTCCCGGCTCTGGAGCTGGGGGGCGCAGGTCCCGAAGCGGAGGTGCCCGCACTTCCTCTCGGAACAAGTCCTCGAGCGGAGGCGGCAGATTTTCGACCTGTGGTGGAGCTTCGTCCTCCGACGCTTCCGGTTCCGGTTCTTCTTCATGTTGCCGGTGTCGGTTCACCCTCCTGCATAATGCCAGAGTTCCCTTCACAATGCCCCTCACTATGTGGCAAAGCAAAACAAACCGTGCAAGGAGTCCCAGCCACAGAGTGGCATCCAGCACCAGGTCTAGGAGTTCCTTCCCCTAGGATCTGTGTTGCCATAGTGATACCCGCGATTGCCGGCGGCGTAGGCTTGAACGGAAATACGGGCTTCCAGCTCGTGAGCGGATTCACCCGCACAAGTTTCACTGTGTGTTTTCGTGGGCGGCGGCACCCGCAACGTGCTTGGGGTCCACCATCCCCAACGAAGGTAAAGCCTGTAGCCTGTAGCATGGTTTTTTTTAAAGCATGTTTTGCGGCTGTGACGCCGGTGGATCTGTCTGACCACAGGTGGTGAATTTCCACTTCCAGCCCATAATCCATGGTTGCCAGCTCATGTACGAAGATGGCTTCGCGACAGGCCCGGCTTCTGCCCCCTAACTCAGCGTCAGGGCTGCTTGTGGCAGGCTTTTTTTTTGTTACGCTCCTGTTCTCCGACGCCGACTCGTGGTCTCAAGGCCGCATGGGCAGGCGGCTAGTCGCCGCTGATACGCCCGGCTCCAGGATTCGGTCCAGGCAATCCCGGCTGGGTCTGCGTGGATGTGGCGACAATGGCGCCTCCCAGAACCACCGCATGACAATCAGTGGATCGTCGGGTTTCGACACATCCTCCCCAATCGCTGTCGCTGAAGACGTCCCGCGTCATAGGCCCTTCGTACGCGCTTGGATCGAGCGCAGTGACTCGTACAAGGTCGCGCGCTTGTTGCAGGTACGTTCCCAGCAGTCGTGCTTGTTGCATGTCATATGTACCTTGGACGGAACATTTGTGGCGACCTTCGACGCCAATCAAAAACAGAGCTGGCGCATCGTTTCAGTGCAGCGTGGGGAAAGTTCAATAAGCTGAGATTTTTTTTCCTCCGCTGCGATGTGTGTGTCCCTAGCGGCTAGAAGCCGCAGTCGCCGAAGGCGCGGCAGCGCCCTCAGCGCAGCGGCAGCCTGCTGGGGCCCGGCGCTTCAGCGAGGTGCAGGACCTGGTCCAGGTCAGGACCAACCCGCTGGCTGGGGTGGGGCACAGGCCAGGAACAGCCCAAGGCCGCGCTGGCGACGGCCTGCTGGACCGACACCGACAGCTGGCTCCACCAGCGCCGCGCCCACGCCGAAGCGGCTGCTTGCCGCAGCGCGGGCGACGCGCGCTGCGCACGGATCCGGACCAGGTCGCGCACAAGTTGGAGCGCGCCCTGGCACCTCGGAGCCCAGGACCACCAGTGTCTGGGGCCCTCCCGCGCACAGCTCCGGGTATGCGTCGCGCTTGCGGCGCTCCGCGACCCGCAGGACCGCTCCGTCCGTCGCAGCAGCGCGGGGAGACCAGCGTGGCGTCGCAGCACAGCGCTCCGCCCAGAGGCGTGGCGCCATAGATTACCAGGATTTACCAGGTCCAAGCGGCGCCTGTCGGAAGGGTCCACCCGGGGGGCCGTGGTGTGGGCCAGCCATTGCTGCGGGACTACTTGCCCGTCTGCCCCAACTGCTTCCCGAGCCGCCCGCACCCACGCCCGTTCCACTATCTTGGCACGGCGGGCGAAGAAGCCGCTGCGGGGGCATGCCAAGGCGTGGTCCCCGAAAGCATCTACTTGCGTGCCGCACCCCGGAGAGGGCCCGCACTGCTGTTAGCCAGGCTCCCGCGTGCGGCCCAGCCTGCGAACGCAAAAGCGCAGAGGCGGCTGGCGGAAGGATGGCAATAGAACGCTGTCGCGGAAGTGAAGGTTCCGGGTACGCGACGCGTGGCTTTGCCAACCATGCGGCCAGTCGCCCAGGCCGGCGTCCGCAAGGGGGCGAGGGTGGGCTTCCTCGGCAAGAGCTCGCCATTCGGGGCAGGGCGCGGTTCCACCCCCGGCGCCCAAGTAATCCACGCAGGAAGCGGCGAACTCGGGCACCCGCGCTCGGAGTACCGGCAAGGCATCAGCCCAGGCAGCCCAATAGGCCGCCGGTGCCGTGCGCGCAGCCGACTGCAAACCCAGGACTCCGAGCGCAGCGGGGAGCCCCGCCAGAGAGCGCGCTCCGTCCGCTTCGTCTGGAGGAAGGCCTCCCAGCAGTGCGACCACGGTCTCCCAGACTGCATCGTCGTGCAACTGGGCGTAGGAGGCGACCTCGGAGGGGGGGACGGTCCGCAAGGCATGGTTAGCGCGCGGGGAAGCGCACATGGCCAAGAGCAGCCAAGCGCATTGGAGGTCTGGGAGCCGGGGCAACTGCTCTAGCAGGTGGCGCTCTTCGTGCGCTCGGGTCGTTGCCCAGGCGCGCACGTACTCCAAGTGGCCGACCGGCGTGCCCAACACAAGCAGACCGCACTCCGCCAGGGGCCGGTCCCCGCGCCACACGTCCGTGCCCAGCTCGGCCACTCCGGGCGGCGGCGGGCCCCCTGCCGGGCTGTAGACACGGGTTTTGCCTACATTGGACGCGATGCTGCATTCGTCCTCAACGCGGTGGACCACCACATCGCGGCACTCCCTGGCACGATCCCGATTGGTGACGACGTAGAGGTCGTCGAGGAAGGCGAGGAGGCTCTCGGAAGGTGCGAGGGCCGAGGCCGCGCTGCTCAAAGCACCATGCTGTCCGAGTGCGTACAGGGCGGGGGCCAACGGGTCTCCCTGCTCGCAGCCCTCACCCTGCGAAACCTCTCGGCAATTACCTGCCGCGTCCCACCACAGGTACGTGGACGATCGCCATACCACATGCGTACAAAAGATACCAGCTCCGGTGCGCAGGAGTTCAGCGCGGACAAAAAAGCCGCCCGGGACATGCTGTCGTAAGCATTTCGCCCGTCCAGCGACACGACTACTGCATCCGGCCGCATATCGAGCGACGCGCGCACATGAGCCGCCAGGGCGTCTGTACCGGCCCAAGCTTTGAGCGCGAACTGGTATGGGCGTGTAGCTTGGTCGAATGTGTCGGCCCAGCCCTGCGCCAGCGCGCGCGAGACGAGCCGACGGAAGACGTCGCCTGTTGCGATCCCGCGCGCCCCGCCCGGGCTTTTGAAGCGCGGTGAGACGCGCCAGTGCCAGGCCGGGGACGATGGCAGCAGGGATCTGGGCATTGGCGAGCTGGGTGGCCGCGTGCGCCAAAAGTTCGAGCGCGCTGACGTCCTGGAGCAGGGCCTGAGATGCTCCGCCCGCATGCCGGAAAGGCCCGTAGCGCCGCCCCTCTTGGCGCCGCGCAGAGCCGCGGACACAGCCGCTGGACCAAGTTGGACCTTGTGAGTGGGCGTCTGCGTCAATAGCTCGGCGGGGATGGGCTTGCGGAGCTGAGGCGGACGTTTGGCCGGGTCGGTCAACGCGCGCCAGGTGGCGTCGTCTCCTGGGGCGAGCTCCGCGGCCGTAAACATGTGCCGGGCACGGGACAGCTCCCCCGCACGGACTCGAGCGCAAGCTTGGGCGGTTGTTGCGCGGCCCGCAGCAGGCGCAGCCAGTCGCCTTGCTCAAAAGCTCGGGCCCTGGCCAGCAGCAGGGCGCGTCCCTGCGCCCCTCGCTCGTCCGTCCTGGCAAGCAGCATGCGAGGCGCCAGCAGAAAGAGTTTCCAGGCGCGGCAAGCGGGGAGTCCCACGGGGTCGCTCGATTCGCGGGTAAGGGCAGCGACCAGCGCTCTTCGCACGGCAGCGCGCATGAAGGGCGGCACATCCTGCAGAGTAGGCACGGGCCGGCGCAACTCCGCACTCAGGTCAACGCCATCCATGGTGGCCCAGGCCTCTTCAGGCAGCACGGCTACGTCTACGCGCTGCGAGCACTCCTCGTGCGCGTGTGTGGTGGGAACGTCGGCTGGGCTTTGGGCTTCACCCGCTCGGCTGCGACCCCGCCCTCGCCCGCGGCCACGTCAGCCCCGGCCGCGGCTCGGGGCGGGGGACGGTGGCCCGTGACTGTCCAGAGCCGCGCGAAAATCCTCCGCCAAAGCTGGCGCCGTTGCCGCGACTACCATGCCCCCGTACTGTTCCAGGAACGCCGTTTGCGCCGCTGCGGTGAGGTAACCGTCCGAAGCCTGGCAAAGCAGCACTGCTGAACCAGCTGACGCCAAGTTTTCACAACCTCGGTGCAGTGAATGGCGCACGATGAGCCCGTGAAGACGCAGATTCAATCATCCTGCACATGAATACGGCCGACCGCTACTGGATTGTGTGGCACCGCAACAACGAGGTCGAAGCACCGGCGGTCACCCGCTGGGATGCAGGTAGCCGTTGTGCGGGCGAGCACGACCTTGCCTTCGGGCACGGTCGGCCTTTCGCCCTACACGGGCCCTGGCACCCTCGACAATTTTTTTTGCGCGTCTGGCCAGTAAGTCCTCGGGCAAGCGGGGGCATCATCGCCTGCAGAAGGTGCCACATGGTGCCACCACATCCTGGGTTGGCCGCAGAGGCTGGAGGGCAAGCAAGCGTCATCAAGGCAATTTGACCTCCTCCAGCAAACCTATCAGGAAGAAGTAGACCGCCGCATCGCCACCGGCCTTGCTGCTCCTGAGCTAAAGGGGGGAATCGATTGGACAGTAGGGAGGAAACTGTTGGGGGGTTTTAAGAAAGAAGGGCGAACCACGAAAGCAGCTGCCCTGAGGTGTGTTTGGCAGGGTGCCCTGGTGGAGGGCCCTTAACCATTTGCCACCGGCTGCTGGCTTCTTCCAGCTTTTGGACTGTAAGGCCCCAGGTTCTTTCCAGCAGGTCTTCCTTGCCGGCCCACCTTTTCTTGAGCTGGAACCAGGCTTCAACTTGCTGGACCATCATTGTGCGACCCGGATCCTGGTACCTGTCGCCTACAGAGGATAGAGCCACCTCTAGGTTGCCCATTTTTTGTCTGCCACACTGCCCACTTGTGGCTGCCCAGCCCAGTAACGCAGCAGTTGCTCGGTGCGGACTAGCTGCATTCTTCGACGTCCCATGCGCATTTCCGTCCTTTCCAGGGGAATTCCAGCCGCAGCAGGGGGGAAACGAGGTTGGTGTCGATTCAAACTTACGCGCCGCCAGAAATGTTGGGGCGACTGTGGCAGTGCGCCCGCAGAGGGGGGCAGGAAAACGTAAATGCACCGATACACCGATACACCGATACACCGATACACCGATACACCGATACACGGATGCACCGATCAGGGGGTCCACCCGATCCGGGGTGGGGGGCCATCGGCGTAAAACTGCGGCAATACTTCACCGATACACCGGCACACCGATACACCGATACACCGATGCGCCGATATGCCGATATGCCGATACGCCGATACGCCCATGGGGGGGGGGGGCTAAGCGGCCACACTACGGCAATACAAAACACCGATACACCGACCCATGGGGGGGGGGGGGGATCGACGCAAAACTGCGGCAATACACCGATACACCGATACACCGATCGGGGATCGGCGTAAAACATTCAAAACACTAAAATTTCAAGCAAGGCCCAGGACATTCTGGGCCTTCATCGTCCGCTAGCTCTGCACAGATACATCGAGGGGATCCCGGGAGCCTGGTGGCAGACAAAAGACAGGGCAAAACAGGGAGGGAAGGGAGGGGGGAGGGATCCGGCAGGGTAAATCGGGGCATGGAGGGGGGTATCGGCGTATCGGCGCATTTTCGGGCGGGCGGGGGGGGGGTTGGTGTGGTATCCGGCGTATCGGCGGATCTATGGGAAGGGAAGGGAGGGGGGGGGGGAACGGTGTATCGGCGTCACGGCGTGTTTCCCACAGACTGGGGGGGGAGTGTCAGCGTATCGGCGTATTGGGGGGGGAGGGAACGGCGTGTCGGCGTATCGGCATCGGCGTTTTGGTGCGGATGCTGATTGGGGAAGAGGGGGGAGGGGCGGGGGGTTCTCTTATCCGCGTAAATCGGGTATCGGTGTATTGTCGTAGTTTTGCGCCGCTCGCCCCCTTTTCCCCCCCCATAGGCGTATTGGCGTATCGGCATATCGGCATATCGGCGTATCGGTGTATCGGTGTATCGGTGTATCGGTGTATCGGTGTATCGGTGTATCGGTGTATCGGTGTATCGGTGTATCGGCGTATCGGTGTATCGGTGCATTTACGTTTTCCTGCCCCCCTCCGCGGGCGCACTGAATCGACTGTGGCACCCGCCTCTCTGCAGACACGAGCCGCCGCGTTCCGGGTTCATCCGCAACGTTTGCATCCTGTCGTGCATATAGTGCAGATGGCTCCCGACGTTCGATTTTCCCCGCTGTGCCCGTTACGACCTTCCTGAAAGACGCGCCTTAGCTGTCAGGATGCCGGAATGGCAAATTCGACGGGAAGTTTCCGAGTCGCCACCCACATGCTGTCACGCGTTGCTGCCCTGTCGTGGTGTAGGGCGCCTGCTGCCCAGCATCACGCTGAGCTTGCATTGCGTGCATCCACCGCGACCCGCCCATGGAGCGGCTGCGGCCAATGCCGACTGTTCGCTTTGCCAGCGCCGCTACCACTATCGAGCGTTGTTG